GTTATAACCACAGGCGAATTTGCACTGATGTCTTGCAGCTTTTTTTCCACACCAGAGTAGAGAGGGGATAGATCTTTACGTAGAGTATCATTGGTCCCACCCATAAGCACTGTAATGTCACCCTTTGAATGTGACGCAGTCTCGGCGACTTGAAGGAGGCAAGCATTTGGCATCACAGATCCCAGAGTTTGAAGCTTATCTGGATACTTTTGTTTTAATGTAGTACCTATATATCTCCCCTGACTATCCGAAAAAACTGAGACATTCAAAACAGGCTTACCAACACCGAAATTATCTGAGAAGACAGCTGTTTTTGCCTTTTCATACTTTGGCTTCACTAGGTTTCTTTGACTAGACTTCTTTCCACTTTTAACTGTCCGGGCTTCACCACCAGCCTGTCCATCTGAAGGAGAATCCTCTACTACCTCCAAAGCGCCAAACCTGTTTCTTAATAACACGTTTTCTTGGTTCCTACCAAAACCTTCAGTATTTAACCTAGGAACTCTAGATATACCTCCCGAGGCTTTGGAGCCCCCCACTTCAATCCATTCATTTTGCTCCTTGTTGGTGGATTTCACACTGCTATTAGTGTTAGACAGATTTGCATTAAGGGATATTGAGCTGACACATGTTTGATCAGTAGTTTTATGAGAGGCTGTTGGTGCTTGCTGAAATATTAATTTCTTCAGTGTTTCTGAGGTTAAGAAAATGTGATTATTGTTGTACAGCAGGTAAGCAATAGTGGAGCGCTTAATCACAATATCTGACTCCTCAAACTTCAGTCGCAGGACACAAGATTCAATATTATGAGTAACCTCACTTGCAATTGCCTGAATGAGAAGGTCAACAAACATCAACATGTATACGCCACAGTCTACTTTATTCAATCCCTGCTGTGGGCACTTAACAATTTTTATTTGAGGAATTATAGGAGTGATCTGTGAATTAATGTGTTTTGAAATTCTGGGTATTAATTTATTAGCTGAACTCAGATTGTAGTTGCCAAGGGAGTCAAAGTAATAAAATGAGTTATCAAGTTTTGAGTAAAACAGTAAACTCCAATGTGAGCCGCTAACTGTATTTGAAGCCACAGCATCATTCACAGGTATTATTATGAATGATTTATCATGAAGTTTCAAAGGTTCTAAGATATACTCATAATCATCAAGACACTTGATCGCATGGCTAATGACTGGTTTAATTAAACAAGTGTTATCCTTAACAAAATTGTTCGACAAGATGTCAAAATACTTTTCGAGGCTATCATCCGTTATCCATTCATTCGACATTAGAGCCAAAGAAAGCGAGGCATTATTGCTGGTTTGGGTCTCTGTTGTATCTTTGGTTGTGTGGTTTTCAGCTAGAATATTCTCAGTTGTAATCACATCAGAACCGGTATAGTTGCCAGATGTTTTAGCAGATATGATGTCCAATGTGTTAGGAATAATATCTATCGGGGTAACCAGTGAATCACTTGATTTCATTGAGACAGACAAGTTGATTGACTCCTGACTTGAAGATTCATTTGAAACACTACTGAAGGAAGAATTACTACTGTTGAGCTTTCTTTGAGTGAAATTGAAGTCCTCAATTTTGATTGGAAGTTTTTTATCTTTAATATATTTTTCAAGCTCCTTTTTCGATCGGAATAATTTACCACCAGGCGATTTTACGTAAATATCAACTTTTCCTTTACTAAGACCATTTTTTCGCAACTTTTCCTCTCTTATCCAACCTCGAGGCAAATTGATATTAAGGTCATTTTCAGAACAATTCATTTTGTTGAAGTATTTATAAAAATTAAATGATTTTCTCTCAGATAAGTGGAAAGGAAAAATTATATTTTTGGATTTAACTACAACTCTACTTAAAGCTGAGCACAGCTTAAGGTATTGACAACTTCAGAAATGAATATATACAGTTCAATTGAAGAATTTTATAACATTCTTGTGAGTTAAACCCAACTGGGAAATATCCAACTGCAATAAAGTGACATTTAGCTGTCACTAAATACTAGAGATTGTTATCCCTTGTAGAGCAAACCTCAGTTGAAATATAAACAAACAAAACTTGAGTTGAAACACAGATCTGCCGTTATCAGTCCACTGGCTCAAAGGTCAACCACTTGCACCTTGCTTCACTGGACTCTTATCTCATGACCCATCTTATCTCTAATATCTGAACGAACCTGATATTCCTTGATATTCCTTGAAATTTTATTTAATAAAACATAAAACATCTGCAACTGGTTACTTGAACAAAAAAACCGGTTTCTTATATTGGCACAGAAAAACAAACTGAACATTTACATGTAAAACACTTGTTAAAAAACACAGTATTTTCATAGAAATTTAGCAGAAACTGAGGAGCACAAGTTTAGCAGTTCTAACAGCAACAGGGACTTCCCCCTCTCATCAATGTGGGTTTCAACTGAAGCTCTTTATCTGCACATTGGATTACTCCTTTGAAGATACTCTGCGTGACTTGACTGCTCAAGTTTTTCATTATAAATAAAAACCTTAAGATTTGTTTGATCTGAATTAGTTAAGGAAGTCGTTGTCGTTGGGAATATAAGCAAGCTACTAAACTAACTGTATTGGCATTGGGTATTACTGTGTATTCCTTTTTAATCCTAATTAATTGTTAAAAATGGATTTTAAATTCAACAATTATTGCAGTCCATTATTGTTATGCAGTATGGTCCCAAGTTATTGTTTTTGATTTTGAAACATCACAGTTCATTTGAAAAAATTAAAGTTGAAGCAGCCCAAGGTCAACAACTAACAAGTCACGCGCGTGTGCAACAATAGTTTTTTTACAAGCTTTCTCCAGACCACTGGGGAGGGTCGGGTCTGATAAGCCGTCTATCGTTCACTTCAACCCTCATTAGTGCCGCTCGGCTGCACTCAGTGGGGAACCCAATACCACAAATCAATCTTTTAAATAAATAAACATATTTGGTAATAATTGTTTTATTGATATTCACCTTGAAATTCTAATAAATTTGGTGTAAAATTTGACAAAAACCGACCAATTTATTAATACATTACCAATCAAGTACATTGGTAATTAAATAATAGGTAAAAATTAACCGATTTTCGTCAAGTTTTACCTTTTACCCCCTGCTGTGCGCTATATCACAAAAGCTGATAACGACATGGGCAACTATGCAACTTGTTGAATGCGTGATGAAGGGAAACCCAAGAAATAGAAGAACAAAGAGAAAGTATAATGACGTTGTTATCTTTATACCCTTTTTACAATTGCTGTTATTGTTATTATCTTTATGTAAGATTTTATGATTTTGTTTTATAGGTTTATAAAATAATTCTTTTTAGCCACGGGAATATCAATTTATAATTTATCAACGTGTTTCTCCTGAAACAGCAATACCGGATGTATAATAAAGGTCAATGACCTAAAATATCTTGATTGTGCAATATTGTATTTTGATGTTGAAATTCAAATCATGACAAAAGTTTGTATATTTCCCCTGGTCCCTATCATTTAATCATTTAATATACACAATCAATACTAAATAATCGTGGTTAGTTCTAATTTTTTTTTTGATTATTCAAAGTTTCTACACAATAAGACAATCCAAAGTCAAACCGGGCAATGAATACTCGAAAAACAACGTATCTTGTCCTGTGATTGGAATACCACTCGCCAGTCCTTTAGACTTAGGGAAGTAGTGCAAGTCTATATATAGCTTCAAGGTCGTACCCACCCCTTCCCCCTCACGGCCTACTCGACTCACTGTTGCTACCCGTTACCCGGGCTCCTTTCGAGGTCATTGCCCAACCCCTCCCACCCTTCTATTGTGTTGCCTTTCTATTGTTTCTATTCTGACTTATTTCGGGAAACATTAAATCTATTGTTTAGTAACAGCACATAAGTAGGCTAGATTTTTATGATTTAAAACAGTGCTGTAAAAAAAACCATTACGCATAGCGCCCCTAGTATCAGGAGACAGGCACGAGTTGACCATGGAAGTTCTTTTCTGCTTTATGTATGTTCGTTCCAGACGAATCTAATCGTAAAGCAAAACAGCTGATAACGTTCCAGACGAATCTAATCATAAAGCAAAACAGCTCATAACGACTAAACTAGACATCGGTATTGCATCATACGGCTTCTTTGTCCTTTGCTGTTACGTCGTCGTCGTTGGAAACGTATTGCTGTAATTTTGTCCAGGGAAACTAATGATGGTTATGAAGATTTAGTTTTCTGTCCAAAACGTCAAAATATGTTGTCTATCCGAAAAAGTCGGATATATAACGGATAGTATCGGATATCAAATTTAGGCTCCGAACCGAACCGAATCCGACCCGATTTTTCGGATAACAGCACATCTCTAGTTTCAATAGACAATAATGTATTGCTTTTCATGTTAACACCAACTAAATACAATACAATGATGTAATTATGCTATGGGAAACTAACGATAGTTATAAAGATTTGGTTTTTAAGACTGAAACGTCAAAATACACAGTCTATCTGAAAAAGTCATATATTTAACAGATAGTGTCAAACAACAAATTCGGGCTTGGTCGAATTCAGTTATTCAAAACAAATTTAACTGTTCCGATTTTTTTGATAACATCCAGTTTTGAGGAACGATATTATCTTAAAAGGCTTCTAGGCTCATTTTATAATCTTCAGAAATAAATTACGAGACAAATCCCTCATCATTACAATAATTATAACTATGAACTATAACATACGTTTATTGAATTAAGAATCAAAATAACCTCATTTAGGAGGGTTAAGTTTAGTTCCAGAGGAGTAAAAAGTATTGTGATTTAAAAGTATTTATTTTTTGACTCATAAGAGGAACAGATATTTAAAATTAACTTAGAAATATTAAGCCAACATTTATAAAATACCAAAATGTTGCAATTCTGTACTGAAAATAAGGGGACAAACCTTGAACCTAAAATACAAATTTATATCTAGAGACCCTTAAAGTCGACAATGAAACTAAATGGTACACACACCTGGTGGTTGGTGGGAACGATATGTTTGATGTCCGATCCCCAAGGTGGTGCAGGACACATAGAAAATAGATTCTCTTGTTCAAACGGTGAGAGAGCTCCGTCCTTGTCTTTATCAAACCTTTCGAAAATAGCTGAGAAAAACTGCTGGCCCTTGTGGTTCAATTCTGTTGAACACCCATTGGGAACTTTGACACTGGAAAAATTAAACATTTAACTTAATACTGGGTTCTATTATCATTATCAATATCAATTGAGATGAGGACGCAACTTAAGTGTGTTTTTAACCCAAATATGAGTGAAGGATGAGTGTAGAATGGAGTGAGGTGATGGCTTTGTTACTGAGACCAGCTGTTTTGTTAGTCATGATCATTTATTTATAGCCATTTATTTATTTTTATTTTTGATCAGGGACAGCCAGGAGCTGGGTCCAGTTTCGAAGCATCAAAAAGCTACTGACTTTTCTCAGGATTGATACGGCAACCTTTTGATTGCTAGGTAAGCACTACTCGGCTACCCAGCTAGTCAATCATCTTGTTAATAAGGTTTCTACATTAGCGCGTACTAACAGATTGAAAGCTCAGAAAACAAAATCAATATTTTTTTTAACTAACTAAATTTTTGGCAAGTGAAAACGTGATAATTTGTTTTGAGAAACATTTTGTGGCATGGAGTAGTTCCCTTTTTAAATTATTTTTAAAGTTTGGGTGAGGTCAAATACTAGTTCAAGAAATGTAATTTTTTATTCACGGATCAGTTTAACTGTCCATTTGAACTGTGGGAAATTTCTGACTTTTTGATTTGGTTTTTCAGTTATCTAAACTGGTGGGTGTTTTGCTCTCACTTTTTCTCTCAGTGTACATCATATATGATATCTAAGATTGAGAGTGCTAGAGAATAAGATTGTTTGCCTTGAATGAAAAGGCTTTATTTAACACAATTCACAGATAATAATATTCATAAGCAAGAGTTAAGTCTAGCAAATGAAAGATTGATTACAAACAGTCAACATAAACAAACGATTATCAACAATTTTATCCAACATCAGCTGGGAATATTTTCATCACAGAGATCATAACCATAAGCCATTGAAAAGATGGATTAAAACAAATAGCATCAGCGAGCTATAGAGTAGAATCATTATCTTATCATTGACCTTCTTTGGCTCATTCTATAACTGGATCGAGTGTTGTATATTTTTTTACCATATTGCCAAAAGTTATATCAGGGGCGGATGGAATGTGATGGCAATTGAAATCCTGATTCTGGGAGATGACTACCCTTTGATAAAGACCACAAACTTATCATTACTAGAGGATAGAAACAGTAGGTGCATGCTCTAGAAACGAAACAATGAGCTAGACAAAGATATCCCGGCCCCTGACTCTACAGAATTATGCAAGCCGTGCGATTAACTAAGGTAAATTAGGAAGCATTTACACGGATCTATAGCCTATGCATGCAAACCTACAAGAACTGCACAGTTTTGTGTTGGTTGGTTAGTTGCTCATTCATAAAATAACATGTGAGAAATTGCAGCAGTTAAACTGACTGTGCATGGGCTGCTTAAAATAGGGATCTTAACTCTTAAGCTCTAATAAGAGGTCGCAACACTTGGGAGTTTCTATTTCACTGAGGTAATTTTGAGAATAAGTAGTAAACAATTTTTGTTGGAACTAAAACTTGATACGAAACTATTGTTTATTTACTAAAATTGTTAATATTATTTATTTATTAAATTTGGCTAGTTATTTCTTTATATTTTGTTATAATAAGTTAAACCATGTACAGTACTACTACCATGTATATTGCTCATACCAAACTAAATAGCCTCCTACTTGGGCTATATTATTTATTTTCAGTTAAAATTATGTACTGATCCTCTTGATGAGATAAAATGTGCTACAACAATTATTAAACTTTTAATTCAATACCATAATGACTCATTATTCAAGATAGCTTGCATGTCTAAATGTCTAGTAATGATCTACCCAAACAATAGTGGGAGTAAGCAATTTCTTCATTGTTATCTTCAATTAGAGTCATTCACACATATTGTCATTGCTTACAGAATGTGCTAAAAATAGCTACTCCCACCAGTTTCCCAATGTCAAAGAAGATAACTGGTTCTGCTAGTACCCTTTGTTTTAGATTGTTGAAAAATAATGTAAACATGTTTTATTTTTGTTTGTAATAGTTAAATTGATTAATTAATTTGAATCCTTTCGCTTTCATGTTATTCTATTATTTTACAAAGCACTACTATTTTTTTAAATTGGATTTGGATTCACCTGATATTTTGTGGATCTAATTGCTCTCTTTATTTTAAATACATATTTTTAATTCATTGTAATGTTATCTTTCTTTACTACAGCAGGTTTATTAATGAACTAGTGTACATGTCGCTCGAATTCGAGCAATTGCAAAGTATTACAGAAATAAGTTATTTCAAAACTAATAACATTCATATTTACAATGAGTTTAAAAGAGTCATCTCAAAGATTACCGGTGTGTAACTCATGGAAATAATCACGATGTATGTAACAGTTCGATATAATCAACATTTCCTGTAAATATTTTATCATTTTTTTCATGAGCTGATATTGTTTTTTAATGTTTTCTACAAACATTTCCTGACTCATAGCCGCATAAGGTTGTCCATGTTTATCTTCGTTATTAATAAACCTATGCATCGTACCACCCTTGTCGCCAGCAGTAAGTTTATAAATTTCAGTCATTCTTTAATAAAGATAAAAGTTCTTCTCATTCTCATCACCCTAAGGACTTTCTGCATAGCCTGCCTGTCACAATTTTATTTGTAAAATTATTGGTGTACTTTTGGATGGTTGCAATATAGATAATTATATTTACCTGAGAAAATTCAGAGTAAAAGGCCTGATGTTGTTCAGTTGGTTTTTGTTTAACTTAACTATGAATAATTATTAAATCCTTCAATGAATATGTTAGTGAGGGTTTCTTCGTTTCTTGGATATAGCCATAGGCTATTCTTCTCAAATCGCTTTACTTTTATGGAAACATAGATTAATGTCCATAACGTACCAGATTTATTTAGCCTTAGAGGGCTTTCCTCTGCAATGATAACAAAGTTAAGTCCATGTTTCCTACTAAAAATTGTAGCACTACGGCTAACATCGTCGTTCATCGTTTGTAAGAATCTTCATCTTGTAGGTGTTCTTCATTATATATATGCTAATAACGATAATAAGTTCTAAAAAAAATATCTCTATTTATTCTACTCGGTGGAGTTCTATGATTTTGTATGTTTCCAGTGTGCAAATCGGTTCTTTCAATGATTGTCAAGAAATACAGTACTATGTCAATTAAATGTTCTTATTTGGATACTTAATAAAAATGTCCAGGCTTTCTCACTTTTTCCCATTGTAATATATACGCAAACCCAAATTCAAAGAGTAAGTATTTAATTTCAATCAGGTCAGTAAGATTTAATTTTTGTATGACGCATTTTCTTGAATTGCAAATTGCAACTTAAATATTAACAGCAATTGTATTATCCAGCTGATCATAATGTAAAAAAAACATTTTCTTCATATAAGGATAACATGGGAACTTTAAAAGCCACTGGGGCAGAGCCGTAGGGATTAAAAAAAAAATGTAAGGTCAGTTTGCAAATCTACGCGACACACTCTTTCCAATGAGATGTCAATGGTCAAATTGGTTAAGAAATTGCATAGGAGTTCATAAGAAAAGATTTCTTGTTGGCGTATTAATTATATAGATTAGAGTTTGACCAATATAAAGTCTGTGTATTTGTAGTTTCATTATCATTTCAACTGATCAATCATAAAGTATTAAGCTAAGGTATTGATAATGCGATTTTATTTTCTTCAGTATAGTAGTTGTTTTAATTATGCATTGTCATAAAATGTTGACACTAGGCCAATAAGATTTATTTAACTACACCCTACACCAAATTAACAAGTTATGGCTTTATTTTTAGAGTATTATTTTCTTACATATATTTTAACAGTTCTGTTAGATCTTGGGTTGGCTATGTGTACACATGCAGACAATTTATGTTTGGATGTATAATCTTAAAAAACTATTTGCCATAGAAATTTAAATCAAACTCAGCAATTAAAACTTACGGAGGGAAGAGAAATTCTTTGGACATTTTCAGATTCTCGTTGTAACCAAACTTGCGGAGTACAGTCCATGTTGTGTGACTTCTTCCTCTCTGCATGAACAGGCAGTGAAGGTAGAGGAAACCTGGAACAAGAAAACGTCAAATGTCTAATATCAAAACCGAAACTTTTATAAAGTTTTGGTTACATTTCTCATTTTATTAAAAGTTTGTATAAAATAAGGTCAACTACCATTGTAAATTGGGATGGAAAATTTCAAATTCAAACAAACGTTTAATCATTCTAATTTTTACCCTCATTCAAATAAAGTTAAGATTTATTTTAATTGCATGGGTGATGGGTTGGTTGCTGATTTTATTGCTTCTATTTCGTGTTTTTTTTTATTTGTTGTTGTTTTTTCCTACTCAAATCATTTATTTTCATAGAATTTTCTCTTTACTTAAGCCAAGGTAGCACACAAGTTAATTATTATAACTTGTGCTTCATGTGGGCCTGTGGGGCCATTATATTTTGAAGCAAGATTAGGTTAGACTACATACCCTAACCTCAATACTATACATATCTAAAGAAATTACAACTGTCTTCTCTTAACATCCAAGGCTATTCTCAGATTACAATTTTGTTGAAAAGCTGTAATATGATATGTATTTAAAACAACAGAATTGTCTATACATTCATATTTAAGAACACAAACATTTTCACTCATTCAGGATCTAATCTGTATACATTTGATATTGGGTCAACAATTATTTTCATGCTCATGCAAGAAAAGATAAGTCAACCGGAACAATAAAACGTAGTAAAAATGTGTACCAGGGATGGGCCAGTTCTTAAGGTTAAGTGTCGGTTTTTTTCCAAAAAGCAGAAACCAAAAATTGAAATAAAAACATGGGTTTATCAATTGCCTGTGGGGTTTGGTTTTTCAGTTGTTGTTGAATAATTTTGCAGAATCACAGTAGTTGGTTAGGAGCACATAAAAGGAGGTTTATCAGACTATGTTTGTTTATGACTTTGATAATTTATTACTAGGTTAATGCTGCAATAACAAATCCATTAATATTTCATAATGACAATAATCTTTTGTATACTCCATGTCTCCAGTGAGTAAAAGAAATCGTTAAATTGAGTCAGTACCGGTAGCTAAGCTCATAAAAGTGTATCCCTTTGTTTACATTAGTCACTTTTATTATTTAGGCATTTACTATTTAGGGTAATTATGTAATCACAATCTAATAAAGAACTAAGCTTAACTAATAAAGAAATGCCCATTATTGGATAAATTGGTGTTTTTTTCTAGTATTGAAACCGAATAGGATAGGACTCGAAGAAAAGTAGGTACATAAAGTGGATTAAAGAATTGTATAGGATTCATAAATGCCGTGTCAGGACAATTTCAGGGTATACCAGTTGGTTTGATATCAAGAAGGGACTGAAAAAGGGGCTGTCATCGGTCTTGTTTATGTGGTAATAGAGATTGCGGAGAGAATTCAAAAATGCAGATGGAAATACAGGAACTATGATGTTTGCGACATAATGCTATGGGGGAGAGATCAAGGGGAATTACACAGATAACTGGAATGAATACATAGCAACCACTCATAGAAACACCCAAATGCTGTTTAATATCTCAAGGAGTTTCAATCCCGGGATCCCGAATCCCGGCCGATTTTTGAATCCTTGAGATCCCGGAATTGGTGACTTGTAATCCCAGGATTAACGGGATTGCAAAACCTATGATTTATTAGGCCTAATGATTTATTTTAATTGGAAAATTTAATTGTCATTAAACTCAATAGGCGAACGAATGTAAATATATGTTTCAGTTTTTAGACGATTTTGATTTACTTTCTGTAAATTATATTACATTAGTTGGAACTTAATTACAGTAGGCCTATCAGTTATTTAGAGTTTTACTTTTGAGATTAAACGTAAACAACTCCATTCGTGTAGCAAACATAACATTGCAATCGGAAATTGAAGTATTATTTTCATTGAAACCATAAAATATAACTATAAACACACCATTATAATCTCATTATTAAGACTGATTATATTTAGGGTCTATAACTTTATCTTCGTATTTGGTTATTAGTGTGGTGATTTAATTTCTTACAATTCTAAATTACGTTTTTCATACACACGCTACAACATAAGCAGATGGTTTACCGTTTTACAGTATCTTATATTGTTTTATAGCTGTCAGTCAAAATAACATTTTTACGCTGCTACTCGTGATTCTTCCCATTTTATCTTTTTTATATTAGCTATCTTTAATCTATCTATTGGCGTGATGTATAGGCTACGTGCGAGTGCGGTTGCACGTGATTTTTATAAATGCATTTATTATATTCTAGAGTGACATATCAACATTTAAATACTGTAAATAAGAAATACGGGTGATGAAAGTTCCATGTGGTAATATTTATTTACTTAGAAAACGGAATTATTGCACGATGTAACACTGGTAAGGCCGGTTTAAAACATTAAAGTACTCAACTTTCAAACGACCAAAGTACTCTACTAAGAGTGGTGAGTCGGTGGCTCAGTCGGTAGCGTCGCGGACTTCGGGCCCAAGGCAGTAGTGTCGTGGGTTCGGATCCTGGTCACTGCCACTAACTTTTATCAGTACAGTTCACCTTTGTACTGTACCGGCTCACCCCTTGCTTTGCTGGATACGTTCCACGCACAGATCTGTAGTCTATGTGGACGGGCAAATGCAAGGTTAAAAGAGGCCGCCAACCTCTTTAAAAAAAAAAAAAAAAAAAAAAAAAAAAACTAGGGGACTTCTCGCTCATTTAAAATAGCTGAAAAATTAAAATTTATAGTATTATATAATCCCGGGATTGATCCGCTGAGATGAATCCCGAAATCACGGGATTGGATTGAAGGCCCGGGATTGAGACCCCTATTTATATCGTACAATAACCATAGTATCAGTCTCCTTTGGTGAGGCACGTCAGAGTATAATGGATAACTACTGCGTATACCACTTCTGGAACTTGTTGGGGGGTTTTAAAAATCAGAAAAGTTTTTAGATATAAACTTAAGACTGTTAAGTAACGTTGTTGGGGATCATACCAGTAAGGGTGATGCAATTATTTGGCGATACGCCACCAGAGATGTTTTTTCTAAGAACTACTTTAACATCTTCCATTGCTTCAGGACGCAGTGGGGAGTCAAAACATCGTTTCTGGAAGGCGTTAAGCTCTGAGTCGTTCAAAAGACCATCATTATCTAGATCACATACCTAAACAGGAAAGACAACACCTTTAGTTCAACAGAGAAACATATAATTTATCACTTGCATACCATACTTTAAATGATGGGGTTAATTATTTGGGTCAATCCATGTTTTTTATATTCAAACTTCAATAGCTAAATAATGGTCACCAAACAAGATTAAACATTGCATGGTATTCTTGATACTATTTAAAATTTATAAAACCAAATCAACGAACCTGTTTTGCATACCCATGACCAAAACTGAAAACAACAACAAACATTGGCCATAGTGGTGATGCTGTGGGTTTGAATCCCCAATCCCACGAACCTTCGAATTTGGTACCTTTGGTACCAAATAGGCCTACTGTTCCTCTTTTTCAAAGATAGTTTTCACTTGATTTGTTTGGTGAACAGGGAAGATAGAACAAGACTTTAATTACAGAAAGTTTACTTTTTGTCTATACAAAAAAATCAAAGAAATTTAAATTGTAAGGGTAATTTTTTTTTAAGTAAGTGTACATATTTTAAGACGGAAACATTCCTTTAAGATACCTTACCTTGAATGAATACCCATGAATAAGCTCACCTTGAAAACCCTTGTCAAGGCCTTCTTGCATTCATCCGTGAGCTACAAATAAACAGTGATAATTAGTTAAACATAGTTATTGATGTTGCATGATATTAACTAAGACTACATCCGATAGCAAATCATTTCTTTTAAAAAAGGGACAAAATGAATAGTTATTGTAGACAACACAGAATTAATTGATTTTATATATTATTGATTTATTGAGAAAATAAATAATAGCACCACATAGATAACAACTCCAAAACAGTTAAATTTTTATGTGTATTTTTCTTGTATCCCAACATCTTAATTAAAATATAAAATTTCATTCTTGGGGGTATAGATAAAACTTACGTCTTGCCTGTCACTGATATAGATGGGTCCTGTCGGATGCAAAACTGCTTTCTGGGCATAGTAAAACATCTCGCTGATGTTTTTGAGTGATTTTGCTGAGCACTGAAAAAAATACATGTATCATGGAGTTAGTTATTCTTGATTAATTGATACATTTTTAATTGGAGGGACACATGGCACTCATCAACTACCATTACCGGTATTCTAGCTTTAAAAAAGTTTGACTTCGCAAGAGCCTTCCCATCGTGGTCTCGCGGCAAAGGCTCGTGGGATGCTTGGTTCCCAACCAACCCGCCTAACAACAAGATCCCAGTGTTCTCAGGCTCGGTCAGAGAAGGACGATACTTTGTGCACAAGGAGAAACATATACAAATTTCTTAAACAAGACTTACTGTAGGCCTAATAGTAAAATATTTTATAGAAAAAATTAAAATTGATCTGAACATAAAAGTTTTAAAACTGCTTATGCTAACATGCATATTAATTAATACTAGAGGTCGTCGAATGGTCAAAAACTCAACCAAACATATGTAATGTACATACTTCTCTATTTTCACCCCACGTTGTAAATAAAACATGTGGATGTAATTTTTTCCATTTGTTTTGATTATCTGTTTGTGTTTATATTTTGTTGATATTTCGGACACCTGCATGGCAACCCATACATGGCCCATGTTGATTTTTGTTGAATTTCAAACTTATTTTTGTGCTTATTTTTTAGCCTGTTTGAATTTATAAAGGGATTCTGCACATCTACAGGTATATATATCTTTCTAACAGTATGCGTACATGTTCCCTAATTTTCCCACATGAGCTGAGAAAAAAGGTTTTAAAGAAACAAGCTTGCCTATTAATATATAGATATTTTATGATATACCATCTATATGTATGTTTTTTGAAAAGTAGTGCAAGGTAGCAAACAAGTAAAAGGTTTTGTGCAGTAAACCAACATGTATGATCATGGATAAAAATACTCATATTTGGTACTGTAACAATTATTGTAAGTAGGTAACATAAATGTAACAACAATAAATAAATTGATTACCTCGACAAAACTCTCCACTTCTGGAAACTCTTCCATTATGTCACAAGCAGCCTAGAAAAAAGGGAAATATTTTAATATTTTAAACACATTAAAATACAATAACAACAACAATATACAATATATAGAAAAACCGAATTAAATATTAGCCTATTATCAAGATGTTGGAGTATGGCAAAAAATGTGTTGAGAGAAATGTAAAGAAACTCAAATAGTCCGCAACAGTTTTGGAATCCAAACTTTAAGATAAATTAATTTGATGCTTGCAAGATGTAGGAGGAGTGAAAGTACATAGGCTTATTATAGTATGTACTTATGCCTCTTCATCTTGCAAGCGTCAAAATATTATGTATTTTCTTACAAAAATAATGAATCAATGTTAGCCTAACAAAGCTATAACCATTGCAACATTTGGACTTTTCCTTAACAAAAAACTAGACAGGGACGTATTCTGCCGCCTATAGGCAGCGAAGTTAGCCGCTCCTTCCCCCCACCATAGTCAGCGTGCTATCCGACCACAATAAGATTACCCCAAAACATGCCCTGCAAGCTGTTTTCGTCAAAAAGTAATCGGCAATTGCATGCTGTATCATCAAATCTAATAACATATTGAGCCCTCATTTCATTTACAGACATTTTTATTTCCCCGTTTTCATGCAAAAAGCGATTCTGGTTTGCATACATGTAATACAATGTTATGAAGTACTACGAAATACTACTACCTACTATGAAATACTAGAAATGAAGCACATAAGGCTGTAGATAAAATGAGAGAGACTGCCATAAAATATTCTGATATTAGTTGAAATCCCCAAAAGACATGACTCGGAAAATTGGTCTTGTGTCATTTCAGAAATAAAAAAAACCAACAGTATTTATAAAACAATTTGTGAAGAAAACAGCAATGTAACACTGGTTGAAGTTCTGCTCATCGTCAATTCCACACCTGCCATGGACAACACTTAAATAAAATGGGCAAACAATGGCTAGCTAAAAAAATATACCAAACAGCCTCAGGTACTTTAAGAGATACAGCACATGTCACCTCATCAGAGCCAGAAATATACCTCATCAATGAATCACCATCAGACACACCAGCAAAGGAGAGGAATGGACAAAAGCCGATCACCAAGCCAGTGGAGAACAGTGAAGTAATCGAAACCAGCACACCCATGTGGAATCCAGTATCCTTGGGAGAACAATCAGCCAAGCAGCACAGCCAACCACAGCACAGCATGAATCACAGGAAGAAAAGGGAGGTACCAGCGGCAGAATACAGGGAAACGACCAATAGACAACACCAACCATCATAGGTTAGGTAGCTATGTACATAATTTTAGACTAGGTAGAGATAAGAAACAATTTTTTTTTAATTTTTAATGCATTTAAATATTGAAGGTGTAAAAAACAAAATTGATGAGTTAAATTTGATTCTAGAAAAAAAAGTAAAAATACCCAAATAGGCTAATTTGTTTAAATGAGCACTGGTTGACAGAGGAAAATGTATGCATGTTAAACCAAGTTAAAGGTTACTATATGGCCCCAAAGCAGAACAACGAGCGACGCTGCGACATTGTCGCGGACACGAAACGCCGAGAAACGCGGGCCTGCGGACACATTTACGGAGTCATAACGACGATCGCACCGTGACCGCGAGTCATAACGACGATCACGCCGTGACCGCGGAGTCCTACCGACGATCACGCTGTGACCACGAGTCATAACGACGATCACGCCGTGACCGCGAGTCATACCGACGATCGCGCCGTGACCGCGGAGTCCTACCGACGATTGCGCCGTGACCGCAGAGTCCTACCGACGATCGCGCCGTGACCACGGAGTCATACTGACGATCATGCCGTGATGGCGGAGTCATGCTGACGATCGAGCCGTGACCACGAGTCATACCGACGATCGCGCCGTGACCGCGAGTCATGACGACGATCGCACCGTGACCGTGGAGTCATACCGACGATAACCCCGTGACCGCGGAGTCCTACCGACGATCGCGCCGTGACCGCAGAGTCCTACCGACGATCGCGCCGTGACCGCGGAGTCATACTGACGATCATGCCGTGATGGCGGAGTCATGCTGACGATCGAGCCGTGACCGCGAGTCATACCGACGATCGCGCCGTGACCGCGAGTCATGACGACGATCGCACCGTGACCGTGGAGTCATACCGACGATAACCCTGTGACCGCGGAGTCATACCGACGATAACCCCGTGACCGCGGAGTCATACTGACGATCGCGCCGTGACCGCGAGTCATGACGACGATCGCGCCGTGACCGTGAGTTCTACAGACGATCACCCCGTGACCCGCGAGTCACAAGTTTCTATAGGTACCTGTAAATTGTTACCCATTTTTTGGTTTTTATAGATCAGTGCCACAAATGGTAAAAATTGATTTTGTATGTCTTTTTTGGTAACTGCAATACAGTACTTTTTTTATGCACAGAAAAAAATCCTGTCCCATCCCGTCCCGAAAATCGGGAAGGAAATAAAAATCCCGTCCCGTCCCGTCCCGAACTAAAATTTCAATCCCGTCTATCCCTAGTGTGTTTATATAAAGAAACTATAGTACATTTAAAGTTTTACTTCTGAAGACCTTGTTAACACTTGTTAAGGTATGTGTATATATATATACGTATTTAAAAAAAAGTTAATTTAAATAACCTGATTATGCCTACCCCTTAATAGTTTTTTTAGTTTTTTGTTTTAAAAGTAGGCTATACACGTTATTGAAATTTACTTATTTTATTTAACTATATTACTAGTAGCCCTAAAGAGTGAATATATATATATATATATATATATACCGGTATATAAGTCATTATTTAGCTTTTTAGTTTTAGCGCTTGCGGACACATTTTGAGGTTTTCACAGGCCGTTGCAGACACGTAGGAACCATTCTGCTTTGGGGCTATATGGTAGACTATTATGTAAGAAAATCTGCCAAAAGAGGAGGAACAGCAATTTTATTAAAAGAAGGTTCAGGAATAAATTGTAAAGTACAAGATGATCTAAAAGTTTTAAATGCAGATTTTTATTTTGAGTACTCAGTGGTGGAAATATTGATTTTTTTAGAGCCTATTATAATTATATCTCTTTACAGGGTGCAATATAAATTTACCCTAGGAACCTTTCTTAAAAAGCCTCAGTCTACGTTAAGAATGTTTAAATCTAGGAAAAGGTCAATGTATTGTTTGCAACAGTCTGTAATATTAAGGTTTTAGATAGTGCAGAGTGTAAGGAATTTTATTATATAATAAACTTCAATGGGTTCAAAATAAATATCAAAGAGGTGACTAGACCTATTAGCAATACTTGCATTGATCAGTGGCGTGACAGAAGGGCCGAAATGTGGGGGGGGGGGGGGTGGCCCGCTAGCCGGTGTATTGAACAAGTAATAACATTGATGTTATTAATAATATGTTGTTATAAGTTATAGTTTAATTTCGTTAAGCCTCTTCAGTAGGGATGGACGAGATTGGATTTTAGTTCGAGACGAGACGAGACGAGATTTTTTATTCCTCATAAAATTTCGAGACGAGATCGAGACGAGATTTCTCTTCTCATACACAACGGGAAATGCACGTTCGAAATTTTTACCTGATTTTGTAACATTGTTAGATGACTGTTTAAATACTAAAATAATGATAATAGGCAAGAATATTTACAATCTTTCATTAAATAACATCAGCATAACATTTTTTTATTAATCACGCCTAACTTATTAAAAATGCCTACGATTAGGAAACATGGTGATATCAGTTAGGATAGAGTTCAACTTATCCTAAAATAAAATAAATCATAAAATAAAAGCAATATTAATTTTTATAAAATAGTTACTTGTTTTGACTTTTTTATAGTAATAAAACATTCCTCACACTGCTTACACTTAACAAAACTTCTCAAATGTTATTAAAGTAATATTATTAAAATAATGAAAGTAATATTTACATTAAAAGAATTAAAGTAATATTTACATTAAAAGAATTAATTAAATAAGAACGCCTTCAAAAAGGAAACGCAACTACAACACGCTCCTGTATTGCGGGTATTGCATTGACTTTCTTCAGGCGTTTTTAATTTTTTTTTTTTTTTTTTTTTTTTTATTCTCGTCTCGATAAAAATCTCGGCCAAAAAGTAATCTCGTCTCTTGTAACGAGATTGAAAATTTCCCGAAAATTTCCCGAAATTTCGAGACTTGACCATCCCTACTCTTCAGTGATAACGAACTAAAGTAACAGATTTAACGTGTTACAGTATAATGTGGATCTTTGATTATTATACAATCTTACTTTCGTCGCCGAGAAATATTTTACTTCTCAGTGATTTTGTACACTGCTTATGTCGTCTGCAAGCATTTTGTTACTTTGGAGCCTGGAGTCATTAACGTTGGCTGGGGCTTTTAATATTGTATTATTTTAAATTTTAGTTTTGTCCTAATATAGATTGTATTTTGTTAAATACAATATACTGCTACTCTACTGACTGTGTTTGTTAGCCCATATCTTATTTTACCTCACAATTAACCAATACTAAAGACATTTGTTGTAAGATAAACACTTGAAATCCATATACAAAGATAAAATAAAAAAATGCAATAGGCTATTTTAGCCTGTGATAAAAGTACGTCATCTATTAAATCAACCAGCTTTTGGTGTATGAGTTAATTATAACCAAAAATTAAACTAACCTAATAAATTAATACTAATGTCACCGACCCTACCAATGTAGGTATTTTAAGCCAAGAATTAATGGAGATGAGATTAGGATGAGTGGCGTAACCTTTTAGTTTTGAAAGGGACTAAGGCCGACATATTCCTTAGACACCGCTGTTAATTAGCCAATACTGTACAGCGAAAGGCAACTAAGTGGCCTAAGGGGGTTAATAGGGGAATTCGAACCACATTTTTGCCTTGTAATTAACGAATTAGTCTAATTATCAGGGTAAGAAAAATAGATAACATATGTGATAAATTAAATGTATAATTTTTTACCTCCTTGATATAAACATTCTGATACACGGATGGAAAATAAGGTTTTTTTATTTGATTTCAAAACTATTTACAAACACTGATATTGATATACAGGGTGAGTTTTAATTGTCCCCCCCCCCAACTTTTTTCTACATTTTTTCAAATATCAATCCCAGACCACTTTCAAACATTGTTGGGTAGTAAGTACTTCATTTTGACAAGGTGGCCATTTCCGGCCGCCATCTTGGATCCGCCATATTGGATGCAAAATTTTTTTTTCAAATGTAAAGGTGGGGTTGTGACCCATTATTTCGAACTACATTTTTACCCTGATTACAATGCCGCAAACCGTTAAAAAAAATCTTGATTCATTCTAAAGTTATGAGGGCTTTTTAAAACTTTATTTTTAGCCCATTTTAACATTGTGCATTTACAAACTAAGACCATAATCTCAAAATAGTGCTAGATAAAGATAAGTATACACTACCAGTAATTGTCGACCTATTTTCACTTGGTTATGACTGATGTATTTTTTCCGGCCGCCATCTTGGATCCGCCATTTTGAAATGTGATAAATTATTTTAAATATGAAGGGGGTGTTGTGACCCATCATTTCGAACTACTTTTTTAAGCTGAAGACAATGCCGCAACCCTTTTTTTGTTATCAAGTTTTATTTATGAAATATTGAAACTTTTTTGTTAAAAATGTCAATATTTCAAAATCAAAAAATGAAAATGAAAAACGGATCATGGAATTAAGTTCAGCTTAAAAAAGTATTTCGAAATGATGGGTCACAACGCCCCCTTCACATTTAAAATAATTTATCACATTTCAAAATGGCGGATCCAAGATGGCGGCCGAAAAAAATACATCAGTCATAACCAAGTGAAAATAGGTCGACAATTACTGGTAGTGTATACTTATCTTTATCTAGCACTATTTTGAGATTATGGTCTTAGTTTGTAAATGCACAATGTTAAAATGGGCTAAAAATAAAGTTTTAAAAAGCCCTCATAACTTTAGAATGAATCAAGATTTTTTTAAACGGCTTACGGCATTGTAATCAGGGTAAAAATGTAGTTCGAAATAATGGGTCAAACTCCCACCTTTACATTTGAAAAAAAAATTTGCATCCAATATGGCGGATCCAAGATGGCGGCCGGAAATGGCCACCTTGTCAAAATGAAGTACTTACTACCCAACAATGTTTGGAAGTGGTCTGGGATTGATATTTGAAAAAATGTAGAAAAAAGTTGGGGGGGGGGACAATTAAAACTCACCCTGTATATATGATGTACGGTAGTGATATAACATTTTCATCAAACCACGACTAAAATACTTAACACACCCTTTTATGGAACATAACCCATGATTTAATATTTTAAATTAATATTTAATATTTTAATTTTTAATTTAATAACTTATTTACCACTCATCTTTTTATGATAAATCTTTTTGATCATTGTATCGGTGGTCCAAAAATAACTCTGGGGGGACTGGGGAGGGGGAGGCGATTGATTATGTTGTATCAGTGGTTAAGAAATAACTCATGAGAGAGGTGCCCAAAAATAAGTTTTTGCAGGGGGGCCCGTAAACATTTGTTACGCCACTGTCATTGATAATATTATAACAACAAATAAAAAACTCACTTTGACAAACACTATGGTAGAGAACATAGGCCTTTCTGATTATAGTGCCATTTGGGCTGAAATACCCAATTTAAAATATAAAGTAAAAAATAAAAAGTATACCTAAAAGAGAAGATTTACACCAGATGTTTTCACAAATTTAAAGAGTCAATAAAGCCCCTTAGGCCGGCCACACACAGAACCAGGCGGGTCGGTGCGCGACAGGGGCACGACGAGACGCCTGACTTAAGCCCTGTCTTGTTGCTGTCACACACAGAATGAGGCAGGACACGTCAAGTAAAAAGTTTAGCCCCCATAAACCTGAAACTTAAAATAGGATTTTTTTCCTGAGCCTTGAGCCGATTCAGCCAACTTTTAAATTTGACTTTATACTTGGGAGCAGAATAGAAAACAAAATTAAAACAGTCATACCTCCAGAGGTGTGGTTTTTGAAACCCTTAAGATATGAACGTTGGCCCTCTCTTTCCTCAGTTATCAATACCAAGAAAATTATTAATTATTCAACCACTGTCGTAATATCATCACTGTATAGTCGTATCAAAGGGTGTAATCTTTGGTCGTATAAATTGTTAGTCTTATATGTAAATTGTATCAGTTGTAAAATAAACCTTATCAAAATTAGCCCGTAAGGGAATAAATCACATGACCGCACATGCGCAGAAAGTTCTGCCCGGCAGCGACTTGCCTCAGGGCATAATTTTGGAGAGCTTCACATTTTGCCCAGCGAGCGCCCAGGGGCGTCTGTTTGACGTGCCCTGCCTCGCTCGGTCCTGTGTGTGGCGCTCCATAAGAGCACAAGACGCCCCGGGGCAAAATGCCCTGTCGCGTCCCGCCCCGCCCGGTTCTGTGTGTGGCCGGCCTTAAGTGTCGAACTATCGAGGTTCTACTGTAGTTACATAGGGAGTGGCAAAATGATCTGATGGTTTTCATTGCTACCCTGTCGAGTGAGTGGTGGAGGGTGGTGGGAATAGGGGCGTTCCAGAGCCTACGTACGTGCAGACTTAGTATTACTTATTAGTACTTTAGTTGCCTCATGTTGTGTACGTCTGAGCACCCTGTGTTTGTAGTGGAAGTGTTTTTTAAATTGGCAATTCCTGTGTAGCTTTTTAGCGTCAGTTCCGTAGACATTACAATGTGGCTCAAATGGAGAAAGTCGCAACTTGAAATACCATTTTGCTGTGGGTAACCTCGACACCCGGTAACCAGATATTACTTTTAACTCGACAGTCAACAGCAGACAGTGTGAATGTGTAGTTGGCACAATAAGGACTTATTTGATTTGATTTATTTACACAACTCACATCGACAGTAGAGTATTCGACCAGATCCACTTTGTTTCCCACAAGTACAACAGGGGGTCGGCGTTGTGAGTGAGACAGCTGGTCACGTATGAATGGCAGCCAGTATGATGTCACTCTCAGTAGCGTGTCATCATCCTCGACTGAGTACACCAAGCAGATCACATGGGCGCGACGCAGCTGCTCACATAGCTGCAATTCTGTCTGCTCCATGGCTGTAAACACAACACCACAATTATTTTACTGTCCCATCTTCACATCTTGGGACAATAGGCTCTAACCCAACAGTACTGTTTTCTACATTACTGAATAGTAAGCCTAGAGGGTCACAGCATTATCACATAGGTAGATAAAATCCATTATTGGTGATTGGCGGAAGTTTAACATAGACCTCAGGGACTGAATTCCTGCACTCTAACACTAGGCCGGCTCACTCTCCCTTTTTTTCGGATACAACACTGAATATATTGAATGTATTTGATAGTAGGACTTTGACCTTTGCAAACAAATGTTACATAGATTTAGTGCTGAGGACAAAGTTCTTTTTATGTTTTCTAAACCACAATTTGTGTAGCCTATACGTCTGAGATTATTTTTAAAATGGACTTCAAATATAAAAGAAAGATTGACTTACATGAGTAATCAACAATATTTGTAGGCACCATTTCTGGAGTCACATCAGCAGGGATTGTAATCTCTTCAGCCCTGTGAGGGACATCCTCAGGAAATTCTTCACTTACTAGAGACAAAATCAGCGAAGTTTTACCCACACCTCGGTCCCCCACTAACAGGATCCGAACATTCCTGTGAGAACTCACTCGGACCACCATTTCCTAAAATCAAAACATGAATGATCATTTGGGAAGGATTGAAAAATAATAACTAGCTCTAACAGAAAACACTTTTGCACAATATTTTCACACATGTAGCATGTTAAGCAGCATTTACACCAGTCTGAAACAAAATGTTTGGACCTTTTTGTTGGTAATGTACTACTTGTTTCTAACAATTTGTTCGTAACAAAACAACAAAAGTTTATAACAGATAGTGAGCTTTTCTTTGATTTTGTCGGAAACAATTTTATCACTGTTCCCGAGGACACAAGGTCAGTCCATATCAGGATGTCTACAGAAGAGGATATTTTACTGGGCGCGGTGGCATGTGTGGTCCTATCACACGTCGGAGACCGAGACGGTTCTGGATGAGACTGTAGCTACAAGCCAGATCAAAATACAGTGGCAATAACCTGTCGGATGGTTGAGACACCCCCCGCCGCAGCAAACCTGCAGACTAAGCAAATTTCCATTTTCCTCTGTTATATTTTCAATTAAATCAATTTCAACAACAATATTAAGAATATTAATGTATCTAAAAGGAACAACAAATCATGGAATTGCTTTTGAGAAAAGCAGAAACAATTCTATTAAGGCTTTTAGTGATGCCGAATTTGCTGGAAATAAGGAAACTAGACGATCAACAAGCGTGATACTCGTTTAAAGCTTTTTGGTGGACCAGTTATTTGGAAGAGTAAGCTTCAACGGTGTGTTTCCGTTTCCCAATCTTCAATGGAAGCAGAATATGCTGCTGCTAGCAGACCTGTAAATCCCTTGTATGGTTAGATCGTCTTGTGAAAGAGATTGGCGCAATTAAAGAAAAGTCTATTCCTATACTACATGTGGACAATCAAAGTGCGATTAAACTTATGAACAATCCAATGTTCTACGATCGCTCTAAACATATTGAGACGAGATACCATTATGTTCGACAGTTGGTCTCTGGGATGCAGAATTAGTTGTTTGTTATATTTTAAGAAGAAATCGTTTAGAGTGTTAGGTGTTAAAGTTGTTTGTTATATTTTAAGAAGAAAGAAATCGTTTAGAGTGTTAGGTGTTAAAGTTGTTTTGGAAAATGTTTTAATCTGTCCTGATTCTTTTCTGATTATTTCCCAAGCTTTTTTACATAATATATTTTTGGATTGAGCAATTAGTTTGTAATTAGCAGTGATTTTGGCTTCTCTTATCTTGTTTGTATGCTTTTGTACATTTTAAAATTGTTCCTATCGTTTACATTCTTGCTATATTTCCATTTTTCATACAATAACAATAAATATTTACGCATTGACTCCAATTCCCTAAGAAAAATGTAAAAGCTAAGTTTATGTCATCAATAGAAAACAAGGTATACCAATCGATATTACTCTACCAGTACAACATTTTCAAGTCTTGTTGATGATACAAGGAGTTTCCTATATAAGAATCCTCTTTGTTATCCAATGATCTGTTTTTTTATATTTTACCAATCAAGAATTTTAAAACCACTTGATCTGATTATTCCTTCCTCAGTAATGGAACAGTGAAACAAGGCTTGATTGTTGACATTAGTGAAAATATTGTTCAAACAAGCACTTTGTCTGGTAGGTTTGACATTGGTTGGGAACAAATCAAATTATCTTAGTAAATTCAAAAAATACTTGCCCTCTTCATCATTAACTTTTAAGATGTTTAGCCTATATTGAAATCAGCAGCCAGGGTGATGTAAAGTTTAGGCTTACCTAGATGAAGAAAATAATAGGAGATCTTCCAATTTTCAACAGAACTCTAGATAAAGCTTGAATCATAGTATGAATGAATTTGAAACAGGTGCAAAAATGAAACGAGTACTACAAGGAGAGTTCCACGAGCATGACAATAACTTATACCATATAAAGAAAACCCCATCATATTCATCAAGGGCAGGACCATAGTATGAATTTGAAACAGGTGCAAAAATGAAACGAGTACAAGGAGAGTTAGGAAAGAAATTAGGCCTACTTCATTTTTAGAGGGTGAATACAGTAGCCCTGAATACGTGGGCCAAAACTAACTTGATGGATAAATGAATTGAAACAGTACGGTACCGTGTTTCAAATCATAATTGTCAATGAATCCAGACCGTGCCAATGGAAGGAGTACCTAACTTAGCAGTGCTGCTGAAGGCCAGGAACAGTCAGAAATTGTCAATTACCGGTAACTCAAAGTCAGTGTATTCAGGCGCTTTGACTGTATGGCCATTTCAAGTGACTTGAGCAACCTTCTTGCCTGCCTACTGGCCTCGACAATATTTTGTGATAATTTACACTTCTTGATCTAAGGAACGGAAAAATTGTATAGGCTAAATAAGACAGTCAATGGCCAGGCCTATTCTACTCCAACACTGGAAACAATGACATCAACAAAGGAGGAAACAAACACACAAATGGACCAATAGGCATAGGGCCTACAGGTGAAAAGAAGTTGCCTTTTTTTCACACTATTTAAGCTAGTAACTTACGTGTTCATTCATAAATTAATGATTAATAGGCTAACTATCATCTCCTCTCAAATAATGACATGTCCAGAGTAACTTAGTATTTATGTATGTAGGCCTATAAAATATTTAAATCACACTTAAAGAGCCTAGCTAGTAGGGCCTATAAGTTAGTTATAATATTCAGGCCCATTTCAAGAGAAGTTTAACGTTAATAACTTAGCCTATTTATTAACATCAATTGAATTGAGAGCAGTAATCATGTAAGCAATTAAAGACCTAAGTTAGTGTAATTAGACAAGGTTAGATTTGCTTTTTGACTATCACTGACATTGAACTACTGTATCTGACAGACAAAAGAAAGGTGTCATCATACAATACAATACCTTATTATTTAACCACCATCAAATAGGACAACAGGACTAGGACAAAGTAAGTAAGTAGGCCTACTTAAGTATCAAAAGTTTCTTCTCAAGCCAAGCCAGTAACATTTCATTTAAAAATACACATACACTACACAATCGGCAATAGACTAGACATAATTTTTCCCATTTTTCACTTCACAATAACATAACCACAAAAATAATTCCGCCCCACACACAGTTAGTCTGTCTGTGTCTGTCTATTCTATCTGAGTCACCTGTGTCGTGTGTGTGTAGTGTAGTTTTAGTGGTCTGTTCTGTTCTGTTGGTCTTTTTTTCAGTGTTCTGTCCAAGTACGACCGTCTCGCCGCAGTAATAAATCCTACTTTTTTTAGAACTGCAACTTTTACATTTGTGTTAAGTGTCGCTCGGTGGAACAGATTGGATGGAGCCGTTTCTGATTTAAATAGTTCCTCGTTCCTCCCTGCTCCCTTCACCATTCGTGACTCGGGTCGGGCACGGCACGGCCGCCTTAGTTAAAGGCGGCCGTGGGTCGGGACGTGTTTCTCTTTCATTTGCGTTTACGGCTTGTTACTCGATATGTCGAATATGTCAGGCCTGTTATGAACTTTGGAATGAGGAAGCTCTAAATCACAAGACCGCCTCCATCATGTATAGGCCTACAGAGTTAGGAAAAAGTCTGGAACCCCCCAGTTAACTTTTTAACGCGTTGCAGTAGGAAAACCAAACTCGGCACATATTTACAACATAAGAAATTGCACTTTTTCATCAAAATTACAATTTTGCCCCAGCCCCCAAAATGGGATATTTTTGGGGCAGCCCCAAATTTTCAAATGTAAACCCCTGTCATGTGACTCATCATTTTAAAGGGTGTATCAAGAGAAATTGAATGGTGCAAACCAGAGGTCAATATCGCACGCCTAATCAAAATGGCAGCCATTTTAATTTAAGATGAGCAAGCAAGATAAAGTCTGGACACCCCCAGTTAACTTTATAACGTTTGGCAGTGGGAAAACCAAACTCAGCACATGTTTGTAACATAAAAAATGCACTTTTTCATTAAAGTTAAAACTTGTATCTGGCCCCAAAATGGGGTATTTTGGGGGCAGCCCCAAATTTTCAAATTTAAACACCTATCATGTGACCCCTAATTTTAAAGGGTTTCTCAAGACAAATTAAATGGCAAACTATAGAGGTCAATATCACTCCCCTTATCAAAATGGCAGTCACTTTGAAATTTCCCCTATTAAATTTTTAACAGGTTATAGCAGGAAAACTAAACTCATCATACCTTTATAAAAAAAAGAGAATTCACCTTCTGGTTAGTATTAAAATATAAAATTTTAAAGTTAACTGGGGGTGTCCAGATGACTATCTTGCTTGCTCGTCTTAAATAATTAAAATGGCTGCCATTTTGATTAGGGGTGCGATATTGACCTCTGGTTTGCGCCATTCAATTTCTCTTGATAAACCCTTTAAAATGAAGGGTCACATGATAGGTGTTTACATTTGAAAATTTGGGACTGCCCCCTAAATACCCCATTTTGGAGGCTGGGGCAAAGGTGTAATTTTGATGAAAAAGTGCAATTTGTAATGTTGTAAATGTGTGCCGAGTTTGATTTTCCTACTGCAACGCGTTAAAAAGTTAACTGGGGGTTTCCAGACTTTTGCCTAACCCTCTATAAGACTGGGGTAAAAAAGAATCCCTGTAATATTTTCTGGCCTAGTCCTATTTTACTACCCATGAGTTGGATAGTTGATGTTTCAATAAATTAAAGAAATATGGGTTATTATGAACTTAACTACTCATACTTTTTCCAACTATATACCTACATACCAAATGTCATCAAATCCGGACCACAGGTGTGGCCTGTAGCTCTGTACACACACACACCCACACCCACACACACACACGCAAAAATCACTTCGAAATCGACTTTTTGGGTTCAGGGGGACCTAAAATGGATGAAATGAAATTAAATGCTTTATTTCCGTGAACATGAACATGACACATGTAACATGTATGGAAAAAGTCAAATATACTAATACTAAGTAAGAGTACTTAAAATTGCAACAATTATATGATTTGTTTGTCCCTACAACACTCCATGCATAGAAAATAAATAAAACCACACTTGCAGAACTCATAAAATAAAACATACTTACAATAAGTTGTCAGGAAGTAAAAAAAAACTCATGGATTGAGTAAAGAGGGTTAGCCAATAGAAACTCCCTCACCCTCTTTTGGAATTTAGTGATTGGCAGGTTCCGAACTGTACAAGACAATTTTTTCATTAATTTCAAGCTCAAGATTTCCTTACTAGCCTGGGTTTTCTTTAGTCTAACATAAGGTATGTTTAGATCCTGCTTATTCCTATTGTTGTAGTGGTGGACCCCACCTCTGAGCTCGAGAGTGCCAATTAAGCTGACATGACATGAGACACCGCAAAATGAAGAGATTGTAAACTGTCATCATAAGGACTCTGCAACAAAGATTGGTTTACAATGGTCCAGATAATCTGCACCATTCACAATTCTTATTGCTTTCTTTTCAGAAGCAAGACCCTCTCGACCCCAGATGCGGAGCCCCACAGACGCAAACCATACAGAAGTACATTCTGAAAAATTCAGCATGCTGTTTTTAACCATTCCTTGGGCACAGAGTCTAAGTCTTCTCAGGAGAAAAATTACCCTAGACAAGCGACTACAGACATGAGAAATATGACGGCGCCAGTCTAACTTTGGATCCAAATATAAGCCTAGTGATTTAACATTTGAAACTTCATGATCAATCTGATTTAAAGTGAAAACAATGGTTTGGGATTTACTTTTATTTAACTTAAAAAAGTTAGCTCGGAACCATGCTGATGCTATCCCCATAGACTCTGACATTTGACCATTAAGAGTTATCAGATATTTAGAGAAGCTGAAAAGGGTAGTGCCATCAGCATAGCAGACAGCATTTCCTCCAAAATTTGGAATGAGGTCATTGGTCATGATAGTGAACAAACGGGGGCCAGGTACAGACCCCTGTGGGACACCATGAGTCCCATATAACCATCGAAGTATATAACACAACTGGAACATCGGGTGGATAGGAGACAAGGGATAAAAAGCGCGCCGTTTCGGCAACCTTCGCCTTCGCCCACCACTATGTGGGACGGGTACACGTCTAATTGGCACCACGACAAATTGGCACCACGTCAGATTGGCACCCGTCCTAGAGGTGCCAATCAGTCGTAACGGTACACGACAGATTGGAACCTCGAGAAAGGGGTGGTGCCATTCTGTCGTGGTGCCAAGCTGACGGCGGCCGCAGAGGTGCCAATCAGTCGTAACAGTACACGACAGATTGGAACCTCGAGAAAGGAGTGGTGCCAATCTGTCGTGGTGCCAAGCTGACGGGGGCCGCAGAGGTGCCAATCAGTGAACTTACTTTTTCGTTGTTATTTTTCGTAGCCAACATGGCAACTCATAAGGCCCTATTTTATATTTTTTCATTTTTAAATTCAATTTCCTATACACAAAATTTAACTGCATTATGTGCATTTAAAAATCCAAACTACACCTGAATACAAAATTTAATTAGATCCAAGATATATACATGAATTGCTCATCTAGTAATAGGGTATATGTTACAACTAGCTGTGTACCGTACCCGTTCTACGGACAGGATCATTTATTCAGTTGGAACCTTCTTATAATAAGAATATGTATTTATTTGTATTATATATTAATATTTGTTTACTTGTTTTATTGGGTTTCATTAGAATAATTTTATTTTACGAATCAATTTTTTAAATAGTTTGTGTGCAATATGTCAGTAACGGTTTGTTTTATGTAATTTATTTAGCTTTGCCTTTTTTGTAATTATTTTAAATATTAATTTGTTCCGGGAATTTATTACCACCATATTGAACTATTTATTTTTATTATATTATATTAACATTTTTTTAAACTTGTTTTAATAAATTTCATTATAGTTGTTGTACTTTACGAATTTACTAATTCGTTCATTCTATTTAGCGAAATTTCCCTATAGGGAATAAGCTATTACCGTAGTACTCATGGTAAGACCTGGACCCGGGACCGATTTACTTTTTCATTTTGAGGTCCCTAGAGACCAAAAACACCATCCGTTCAAATTCATATATATATATTTATATACGTGTCCGTTAGCGCGATAACTCGAGCAAAAATCATCCGCTTTTGATGAAATTTGGTACAATCGTGTAAACCTACGTTTATTTTAACGAGTTCGCGAACCAGCATGATCGGACTATGGGAACAGGGGTTTATGGGGGGTATTATGGGGCAAAAATTGGTTTTTCCCATTTTTGACCCATAAAACTTAAAATTTAGCATTTTCTTTCCAAACCATTTTGTAGAGCTTAGAAAAACAAATAATTTAGTATATTGAACCGTTATTATGCGCCTAATGGTTACGGAGAAAATTCCAAAAAACTGTAATTTTAAAATTCCCATGTTATTCTTAAGGAGAGTAAGTAAACTGTTGTATTTTGAGTTGTTTTGTCTCTGGATCGCAGAACAAACTATAAAAGGTATAAATATAAAATTACCTGAGTACTGCCAGAGTGATCCTGTTTGTTCCTTACGGATAACGCGTTTCGAAGACTAAGTCTTCATTATCAGATCTTGTACAAGAACATTAAAACACTGTCACTTCGAAAAGGTCATGGAAAAGGTCACCTTCACCTGTAACTGTGCGGTCGGACATTGTAAGTTTTCGTCGGTAGGCCTACTCGTTTTTATTCGTAAAACATCCACGTTTGTACATAATATGTTTCCGTGTTTTGTATGTAAACTCTTGACGACCTTTTCAAAGTGACAGTGTTTTAATGTTCTTGTACAAGATCTGATGATGAAGACTTAGTCTTCGAAACGCGTTATCCGTAAGGAACAAACAGGATCACTCTGGCAGTACGCAGGTAATTTTATACCTTTTATAAACTGTTGTAGTTTGCTTGTTTATGTTCATATTTTGATAAAATTTGGAAAATGAATTAATTTAATACTAAACTATTAAGTAACATTTTACAAAAAAAAAACACCTTTTTACCTTCCCTGTTGCAGCAAACCAAAGTACTCGTTAAACTAATGTTATTTAAATAGGGAATAAACCTGATATTTTTAGGAGACATTTTTAGTGTTAATCCAATCAGGCAAATGGAAATTCGCTTAGTCTGCAGGTTTGCCGTGGCGGGGGTATATTTATTTACTAATTTTACTAATTTGTGTGCAATATGTTTGTATATTAGCGAATTTCCCTATAGGGAAGTAGATGTTGCCGTAGGTCTCATGGTAAGACCTAGGCCCGGGACTGATTAACTTTTTCATTTTGATGACCCCAGACGCCAAAAACACCATTCGTTCAAATTTTTATATAAATGTGTGTGTGTGTTTTATGTATATATATATATATCTGTGTGTGTGTGTGTGTGTATTTGGTTTGAAGGTGTGAGGCGGGGGGTTTAACCATGGGAACGGGTTTAACGGGGGGGTTTTATGGGGGAAAATGGGTTTTCTAATTTTTTACCCTTAAAACACAAAATTTATAAATTTTTCTCCTGGTCTTTTTAAAGAGCTTAATAACAAATAAATTTAGTATATCAAAGTGTCTTTGTACGGTGATTGGTTACGGAGAAAATTCGGAAAATTGTTAATTTAAAAATCCTATGTTATTCTTATGGAGAATATTGTAAAATGGTGTAGTTGGCTTATTTATGGATATATTTTGATTAAACTTGGCGGATTTATATATTTCATACAAAGCTATCGATATTTTAATAAAAAACACTTTATTAGTTTCCTTTTTGCAAGCCTAACTCATGTAGATTGGCAAAAAATTATAAAAGTACGATTTTATTTAATATTTGTGATGAAAAAGTAAAAAATACATGAATAAATTAAAATCTGTTTTTTTAAATTCTGTTTTCAAGTTTTAATTTATAGCCAACTTTTGGTTGCCTAAGTAGCCTATATTGAAGAAATACAACATAGTAGTACTTTGTAAAAAATTGTATTCTCTTTCAAAATATTGGAGCTACTTTTTTTGTCAATTTTCCGACAATTTTAAAGTTATTGGCAAATAAGCCAAGCGATTCCAAATTTATAGTTGTTGGAAAATACTGAATTAGAGATATTTTTGGTAAACTTTGTAGAATTAAATCTAGACTTCTACAGTGAACGATTTTGTTGGAAAGCCTAATTTGTGTAGGTTTGCAAATAATTAAGAAATTTTGATTTTTTTTTTATGTTTTAGGTTGAAAAAGACAAAATAACCAAGAATTGAATACATTAAAAACTGCTTTTTTCAAGTTTTTATTTCCAAGTTTCTATTTTTAGCCAACATTAGGCTGCCTTTATTGAGTATTTTCAAAAACTACATAATAGTAATTTGTAGGAAATGTTATTCTCTTTCAGAATATCACCTTCCATTTTGGTCAATATCCTCACTATTTAAAAGTTATTTGCAAAAAAGCTAAACAACCTCCAAATTTATAGTGGTGAGAAAATACTGAATTAGAGTACCTAATTGTTGTTAAACTTTGTACAACTAAATCTACAGTTCTACACGACCGATTTTATTAATTGAAGGGTTGTTGGAAAGCTTAAACCATGTAGATTTGCAAATAATTATGAGAGTTTGTTTTTGTTATGATGTATGATGAAAATTAAAAATAAAACACGTTTTCTTGAATAAATACATTAATTACTGTGTTTTTTAAATTTTTATTTGGAGGCAACTTATGACTGCCTTTATTGGGTATTTTCAATAAATGTATAGTTTCTAATTTGTAGGAAATTATATTCTCTTTCAGAATATTACTGTCCACTTTACTAGGTTTCCCTACCATGTAAAAGTTATTTGCAAAATAAATAAGCAACCTCCGAATTTATAGTGGGGAGAAAAATACTAGTCTAACTCAAACCCTAACAGCACCAGATATTCATTCAGCCCAATCCGACCAGTTTTTTTCATTTACTTGTCACAAACATCCAAACTTTCTCACAAATAATATTAGAAGGATTAACTGTTTTGCTCGCTCTGCATTTCGGTTAAGAGTGTTACTACCATAGCCTAACCAACATACAGCATCTGACACAAACAAACATATAATTATTGATCTGAAGACAACTGAACTGCACTCAGGGTAATTGATATTTTCAGAGCTTCACAGAGATGTAAATTTAGAAAAACTGGCTTGGATTTACTCTTGAAAGGGTTAAGACATTTCAGGAAACACCTTCATCGAATTAGGGAGGTAAGGTCACTTAGGTTGTAAACACTGTCAAAGAAAAGGAGGAAATCACTTATCTTACCTTTTACTTTTTTAAAGCAAAGATTTTGTTTGAAGATACCAAGTAAGTGCTTTTCATAATCAATATCTATCCCAAAATTTGAGACATACAATTTCAGGACAATAGATAGAAAGGAATGATAGTTTTAAATGATTCCAACCAGAGTTTCTACAACAGCGGCACAGAGGTGTTTATTGGTTAGGTCAGAAGACAAGGTTGGCCTATTATGTGTTTGCATCTACCAATACCAATAATAACAAACCCCTAATAAAAAGATAAATGAAAACTCTCAAAAAATATTTACATGTTTATTGAACCAAAAACAACTTACAAATTAAAAATTAATATTACTTAATAGAAAACAAATCCTAACACAAAAAAAAAAAAAAATACTCTGTAGGATTAAAACTCCTAAAACAAATATCCCGTGTGGGATAATTAGAAACTTAGTCATGAAGTCCATTAAATAGGTACATAAAGTACAAATAAACTTACTTATTTTACATTACAGATATAAGTTTTACAGATATATTTACATTGCTTAGTACTATATTTATCTACGTGGATCTTATTTAGCCAAAGGCTTTGTCTTGTTTGGTGGAGGGTTTCTGCCACCGCCACCACGAGCCAAGGGGCCACCAGGTCTGCCTCTCCCTCCAAAACCACCTAAAACAGAACACTCTTGTTATTTTTTAACCTTCACTTAAGGCCAACATTGTTAGCCTTAGTCACTAACAAGACTACAAGATCACGCCACACATCCTACACTCATCTTTGTGTTAAAATACGCACACAGTGGCATCCCCATTTTAAATAATTGATACCTTTATACCACTTAGGTAATTTTAATGGAAAGAGTTATTCTTTTATAGGCCTACTTGTTATACTCTTAGGAACAGGGCATTGTTCATAAACACAGTTCAAATTACAATTACTGTGATACACTATTTACCAACAAAACAAGCAGATGTCGGTATCCCTGATTTCCTTACTTCATTGTCAATCAGCTGATATGCATTGTTATTGTTACAATGCATAGTAGGTTGGAATGAAAAAAATTAATAACTTTTTTTTGAGTTGTAATACCTTGGAAAAGTTGCTAAATTGTAAGACCGAAACAGGGTAAAGATATTAAAAATATTGGTCGTTATATTCCAGTCGAGCATGTGCTCTAAAGTTTGAAAAAAAACTCATATTTTTGCAAAATTTTAATTTTTTATTTTTAATATGTAATAGTTGAAAATGTAATCTGAAGGACACCAAGGAATTGATATTTAAATAATAGTATTGTATGTAAAGATCTTCCGTTCGCGCATCGGCTGTAAATATTACCAAACATCTAGAAAAACGTCATTTTGTACTAGATTTATTTGAAAAATAATTATCAACATCAAAATGTAATACCGAAAATCTGCTTGTACACATTCAGAAAGTAACATAACAAAAACAACATACAAAGTCAGAATTGATCTTCCGGTCGCACATAGGAATACAAATTCCCTTGAGCGTGTCTTTATCGGGTCAGTGACCCGACCGACGTCATGTGATTCCGAAATTAAAGTTTCCGAAATTGAACAACATGATGGTGATGATAATATATTTCTATGCTCACTAACTAATATATAGACGATTGTAGTGACAGCTACCAAGAATGTTTTTTAAGTAAACTATGGCTAGTGCATTTAGCCCCAGTTTACTACTAGCTAAATTAAGACTAAATTGCTTGGGTGCAGTCGTACTTGGAAAAAAGAAAACAGGTGACTAGAGTGGGAGCTGATGTGTCACTTCCCCTTGCCAAAGTCAGGGGCGTGCAGGGGAGCTGTCTGGATCCCATTTAACACTGGAGACCTTTCCAGTAGCGTACAATTCTGCAATGTGCACGCCTATGCTGATGACTGTCAGTTGCATTTATCCTATGATGTCAATTTAATTGACCAGGCTGTTGCGAGCGTGAACTCGGATTTGGCAAACGTCAGTGAGTGGTCAATGAGACATGGTCTCAAGTTAAATAGAAAAAAATGCACAGTTCTCAACATTGCTATTGCTACGCCCAAAGTTGTCCAAAGGATAATTGATGGAGACGTGCTGATGAAACTTGATCAGAAGGATTTGAATGTGAGCCACACTGCTAAGACTTTGGATGTTATACTGCACCGTGATTTTACTTTTTCTGATCATATCACTACAGGGATAATTTAAAAAAAAATTTAAATTCCCATGTTATTCTTACAGAGAATAAATAAACTGTTGTAGTTTGCATGTTTATGGATATATTTAAACCAAATTTGAAAACTTTGTTTATTTAATACTAAGCTATCGACATTGCAATAAAAAACACATCTCAATATCTTCCCTGTAGCAGCAAACCTAAGTAGTCACTAAAATTAATATTAATTAAATAGGAAATAAATCTGAAAATTTTTAGGGAATATTTTAGTATAAATCCAGCCAGGTAAATGGAAAATCACTTAGTCTGCAGGTTTGCTGCGGCAAGGGTATTTGTAATTTGTATTAATTACTTTGTAAATAAAAATGTACTTGGAATCCATTTTCTAGAAGAAATAAAAAATTTAAATATGCAATTTTCAGTAATTTCTTAATAAAAAAACTTTATTTAAATTACTATAAATAGCTTAATATTGGTTCGATATTCATCACCATATACTCAATGGATGCGGAATTTTATGCTCTACAATTCCTTTACTATTTGTTTTTCTGTAGGCTGGACGGTTTTTTTACGTTTTAGTAAAAACTAAAAAATAACCCTAAATTTCAAGGTTTTTGTGGTCCCAGGCAGAATCTCAGCTGGAAAAATGGGACAAACTTCAAATCCTTTTACTTCTATATAAAACAAAAGGATTAAAACGATTTCCAGCTTTCCGAGAATTATTTCCGGGCAAAAACCTATTTTTACTGGCCAATTATCTATTTAGTGTATTTTCACTATACATACTGTGTTCCCAACTTTTACCTCTGACTAGTGCCTTTTCACTCTACACACTGAATTTGCATCTCTTACCTCTGACTAGTGCATATTTACTTTACACACTGTGTTTGTATCTCTTACCTCTGACTAGTGCTTTTTCACTACACACACTGTTCGTATCTCTTAGCTCAGACTAGTGCCTTTTCACTCTAAACACTGAATCTGCATCTCTTACCTCTGACTGGTGCATATTTACTTTACACACTGTGTTTGTATCTCTTACCTCTGGCTAGTGCCTTTTCACTCTACACACTGAATTTGCATCTCTTACCTCTGACTGGTGCATATTTACTTTACACACTGTGTTTGTATCTCTTACCTATGACTAGTGCCTTTTCACTCTACACACTGAATTTGCATCTCTTACCTCTGACTGGTGCATATTTACTTTACACACTGTGTTTGTATCTCTTACCTCTGACTAGTGCCTTTTCACTCTACACACTGAATTTGCATCTCTTACCTCTGACTGGTGCATATTTACTTTACACACTGTGTTTGTATCTCTTACCTCTGACTAGTGCCTTTTCACTCTACACACTGTGTTTGTATCTCTTACCTCTGACTAGTGCCTTTTCACTCTACACACTGAATTTGCATCTCTTACCTCTGACTAGTGCATATTTACTTTACACACTGTGTTTGTATCTCTTACCTCTGACTAGTGCATATTTACTTTACAGACTGTGTTCGCTTCTCTTACCTCTTACTAGTGCATATTTACTTTACACACTGTGTTTGCATCTCTTACCTCTGACTAGTGCATTTTCACTACACACACTGTTCGTATCATCTAGCTCAGACTAGTGCCTTTTCACTCTACACACTGAATTTGTATCTCTTACCTCTGACTAGTGCATATTTACTTTACACACTGTGTTTGTATCTCTTACCTCTGACTAGTGCCTTTTCACTCTACATACTGAATTTGCATCTCTTACCTCTGACTAGTGCATATTTACTTTACACACTGTGTTTGCATCTCTTACCTCTGACTAGTGCATTTTCACTACACACACTGTTCTTATCTCTTAGCTCAGACTAGTGCCATTTCACTCTACACACTGAATTTGCATTTCTTACCTTTGACTAGTGCATATTTACTTTACACACTGTGTTTGTATCTCTTACCTCTGACTAGTGCCTTTTCACTCTACATACTGAATTTGCATCTCTTACCTCTGACTAGTGCATATTTACTTTACAGACTGTTCGCATCTCTTACCTCTGACTAGTGCATATTTACTTTACACACTGTGTTTGCATCTCTTACCTCTGACTAGTGCATTTTCACTACACACACTGTTCTTATCTCTTAGCTCAGACTAGTGCCATTTCACTCTACACACTGAATTTGCATTTCTTACCTTTGACTAGTGCATATTTACTTTACACACTGTGTTTGTATCTATTACCTCTGACTAGTGCTTTTCACTCTACACACTGAATTTGCATCTCTTACCTCTCACTAGTGCATATTTACTTTACACACTGGGTTTGTATCTCTTACCTCTGACTAGTGCATTTTCATTCTACACAATGTGTTTGCATCTCTTACCTCTTACTAGTGCATATTTACTTTACACACTGTGTTTGCATCTCTTACCTCTGACTAGTGCATTTTCACTACACACACTGTTTGTAACTCTTAGCTCAGACTAGTGCCTTTTCACTCTACACACTGTGTTCGTATCTCTTAGCTCTGACTAGTGTCTTTTCACTCTACACACTGTGTTCGTATCTCTTACCTCTGCCTAGTGCCTTTTCACTCTACACACTGTTTTCCTATCTCTTACCTCTTACTAGTGCCTTTTCACTGTACACACTGTGTTCGTATCTCTTATCTCTGACTAGTAGTGCCTTTTCACTCTACACACTGTTTTCGTATCTCTTACCTCTGACTCCTCCTCTGCCCCTCTGACCACCACCTCTGCCCTTCATGTCCCGCTGTCCTCGGTTCTTGGCTGCAATGTCTTCTTTCACCATATCAATGACCTCATCTGGGATACGCAAGTACTTGATTGTGCTGCCTCGGATGTAGCACTCAGGCATCCGCCAAAACTTGTCACCATCCTAAAACAAGTATAATCTTTAGAATCCTACCTTAGGTTTAATTGGAATAAAAAATATCTTGTGTTACACTTCCCTCATGAAATATCATGATACAATTTGGCGTTGGTTTTGCATCTTCAATTAATTTACAAGCAATTTTCCTCATTGTGTAGGCTACATTAATTGACATGGCTATTGCATTTTTAAAACTCTAGGTCCTAACTGTTAATTCTGGTGTGGGTTCATGAATTGCATTTACAGAACAATACTACCAGTTACTGTATCATGAGATGATGAATCAGTGCTGATTTGCTGTGTTGTATCTGCACAGAGCTGTGTGACAGTAGTCAACAAAGTGTCACTCACTACCACATTTATTAGTATTTAATGGTGATCAACAATTTGACACATACTTTCTCTCATTAGTTTGTTAACAACCCTTATCATGCCAAACGATGGGAGTAGGTTAAGTATGGCATTTTATGGGTAAAACCCCAAAAGTTGCAATAACTTTTAAACCCTAATTTTTTAGAGCCATGGGGGGGTAAATTACTGTTTTGTTAACCCTTGAGTGGGCGCTTGCGGAGTTCTCCTCCGCACCTGTAGTTTTTGTTAATATAAATATGAATAATGGGTGTCAGCAGTCGTGTCCTGCTCTACACTTCACGCACCTCATCCTGGGAATGCCCCTAAGCTATTTTTACCCCCGTATTCCTCCTCATTTTGCTGTCAGTTGGAATTCAGTGACGCAATGTCAGTTTGCGGAGGTTTACTCCGCATGCGCCCTATCGTGTAAGTCCTTAGCGCAGGGATGCAGCTAGTTAGGATAAAGCTTAATCACCCGATAATTATAGTGGAATAGATTACAGAATAGGACTGGTACTGGAGTTTGCTTTGATGTTTGATGGCACTAGATTTGTTTGGGAATCGTTCTTGGCTGTTGAGCCGACTTTCACAGCCTGGCATCCCCTACCTCCAATCTTACAATTTGTAGAGTAGTTCAATACTACAAATAATTCTCCAAAATAGCTAAAACGGCTCCTAGGTTTTGTTTTTGAAAAAGGTATAATCATAAAATTAATAAATACAAAATGAAAATAAATTTGATATGGTCACATGTCCCTAGAAATATGTTGTCTAGAGTCATACCATAGACAAAATAATTAAATATAGACTGACAAAGGAAGGTTCCGTGATGTGCCACTAGAGCGTACTAAATATTTCATATTTGTCTTGTCGATTCACCCTCTGCTACCAGCTGAGCACTACTACCCTTGCAAACTAAATGCTACCAATGTATCAGACCCACTGTTCATAATGGGTAAAGTAAAAAATTTTCACAAAAATCTGAAATCCCGTTATTTTATAATTGAATCCCATATTTTATAATCCCCAGATATGTTTAAAACATGGAATGATAACGGAACAAACTCCTACTCCCCAGATTACGGGGAATTCTCCAGAAGTTGGCAATCCTGGCTCCAACTATCAACGTGTCATGGCAATGCTCGCTAGTGCTTGACGCTGCAGCTGTGTGCACCGAAACTACAAGGCACTCCTAGCGGTGGACGGCAGAATATATGCTAACCGCAGCACTATTGTCAGTCTATATTTAATTCTTCTGTCTATAGTCATACGATTACCAACTGAGACATTAAAGAAATTATTGTACAAGAAGAGTAATATTTAGTTTTATGTATTCCAAACAACTTTTAAATATAATTTCTAAAATATCATGTTTCTCAGCTTAGAGTTTGACATAGGCTATGAAACAAAATAAACATGGAAATGAAGAGGATAAAACCTTCCATAGAACTATAGGCTAAGCATACTTTAATGTTACTTTCAGTGATATTTTCGTTTTGTTTCGGAAACAAAGTTGTTTAATGTTTAGGGATCACCTCAAAGCTCTCTAACTACCTCTCTTTAAACACCTATTGTGACGCTAGCTCCGTTATTCTTATTACTGCCGCTCGACTGAGCTCACACTTACGGAGAACTCAATATTGACAGTTAACTTTCTAATATTGTGGTTTGTCTAAATATGTCTACGGCATTAAATTTGATATCGGTTAAAAAAAATAACTTAAAGTTTACATATAATTCATTTACGACATCATTAACGTTTTAAGCATACTCTTGGCCACCAACGTCGCTTAATATGTCCGTATTCATTGCGTGGATAAAAGTTCTCAGGCAATTTAGAAACACAACGAGAGGATTTACTCAAAATGACAGGTCGGCTGATGGGCAGAGACTGAGCTTGTGACACAACCTCGGCAACAGTGGACCATCTTCTGAACACTGATTGGATGCCGCTTGCCTTAGCCCACGTTCTCCCTACCCGAAGTGAACTGGTTTCAGTCCTATTCTATAATCTATTTGACCATAGTTAACAAACCATGGAGTTTATCCTTTTGCTCACTGGGCTATTTATATGATATGTAACAAGAAGCAAATACATACTCTTGAGGTACAGATGACTTCTCGCAAGTTGATATTCATCCAGTTATCACAGCTGACGAGATGTCCGTTGTAAGTCTCTCCATTCTTCAACTCTACCAGCTGTACGATGTACAGGTGAAAATAATAAACCAGACATTAGAATTTGGCACAGATACCTTCATATGATAAAAAGTATTACAGTATTGTAACAGTTTCTGATTGTTATTTTAGAGTAGAGACTAATATTAAATCAAAAACAGTTTTAGCCTATTTTTGTCTAATTTGCATGGAATAGCATTCCACTGTCATATGTTGATCTGTTATTTTTGGGTTACAACCATGTGAAAAACTATGAAACACTTCTGTCTGTTCACCATTGTTTCGGCCTTCATGTAGTGTACCAGTGTACCATCTTGAGGATAAACTTATATGTCAACTGTGTGGAAGTTAAGTCATCCTGAAGATGGCTCTCTGGATTGAGGTATAGACAAATAGAATGAATATAGACCAGCAGCAGTGCTGCGGTTAGTATATGTTTCGGCGCCTACCGCTAGGTGTGTCGTGTAGTTACTGCACACACCGCTGCAGCGTCTGCTGGTAGCATACGGCTCCTGTGCTCCTTGCCTGCAGCGGTGTGTGCTGTAACTACACGGCACTCCTAGCGGTGGGCGCCGGAAGCTTCCTTTGACAGTCTATATTTATTCTATTTGTCTATGATTGAGGCTTAAATGGTGGACTGAAACATTCCTGTTTTTGATACAGTCGTCACCGAAAGTCCAATGAATCTAAAATATTGTCCCTTTAGAAGTGAGTTAGAAAAAAACTAAACAATTTGAGAAATAAATAATTAAAGGTACTTTTTCTGGCCATATAGCCTATATCAACCTCCTCAGTCTTTAGGAATAGATGTTAATCGATTACCTTAGATCAAACTCTTGTAGCGTACATTTTTTCTATTTATCCTCCATCTTAAATACACTCACAGATGACAAAAAAAAATTAACTCTGTTGAAATTGATGCATGTATTTTCAATCTAAATACTAGACCTACTTTTAGAATACCTACCTAAGTCTATTAATAAAACAGTCTTATTTTCAAACAATTAAAGATTTCTGACATAGGCTACTTATATTTAGCAAAAGTCTAATCTTTTATCAGTGCAATTTTAATCTTCAATCAAACACAAAATAATCAGCCCTTAAACTTTTAAGAGGACACATGATAAGTTATCCTTTTCAAAACGAAATCAAGTCAAATCATAAGTTTGGTTCTATATTCTTCTCAACAAATAGTTAAATACCAATAATAGTAAATAACTAGTTGTTTCCAGTTAATAATATTAACTACATTTCAATGTCATTTTAATAATTATTTAAATACCATTTTACCTTGTCACTACATAATAAATCAAAAGTCAATACTCAATACCGTTTTAATAAAGGTTTTAACAGAGTTCAGAATACTGCCCTACAGAACAGTTAATATCTTACTTTTGAAATGTTTAAGGTGAAACTCTTTCCATACGATCTCTTTGCGCAAATAATAACGTCTTGAACCGGATGACCTTGGTTTCGTTGTTCTTTAACCATTATTTTTAGTTCAAAATCAAAAGCGCGGTACGTACAATGCCCCATGTTGAAAGCATGGCAGATAAGACCAACTTTTTCAAGTGTATTTTTTTGATGGTCATGGCAAAAGCAATTTGGCATTGGAACTGCCGACGTTTGAATTTCAGGAGAAAATTTCCTTCTGATGATTCTAAACTTAAAAGTAATAATAAAACTCGTTTTCCAGCCGAACTTCCAGTAATCATTTCCAGATTTAAGATTTAAAATAATTAACCTCTTTCACCATTAATCTGGTTCCACTAACCAGTTCTTTTTATGGATTTAAATTTCTTAGTAAAATTACTATTACACCTTTTTTAAAGCATAACTTATGAGACATAAAACCACTTGGTGCTAAAGTGTGGATGTAACTGTTCTCCTTCTTGAATCAAAGTATCTACTGAGAAGAAACTCGTCATTTTATAGTTGGTTGGCTATTTTATTATTTAATGTTCATTCTTTGGTGAAATTATTGCATGATTTTTGTCTTTTTTTAGCATCTTGAGAGAATCCTTCACTGAAGATTTTGTCAATGATATTTTGATATCTTATATTCACAAACATTTTGGAGGAAGACTTTTCAATGTCTCACAAAGATCATTATGGCCTTTCCCTTTTCGTAAAAGATATTCAGCAAATATTGATTCACTTGGATTTGCTCTCATGTTTTTAGCAAGTGAAATATTTTTAAACATTGGCCATAAAGGTGATATCATTAATTATTGAATTTTCTACCATTGCACAGCGACTCGCACCAGAGACTATGGTAGCTCATTGCCGGAAATTACCTCCAAAAACCGCTCCACCAAAAAGCTTGTCTTGGCCTTCTCTTCTGGCAATATCTCGCATTAATAATTCTACAGAAGATAAAGCATACTTATTGGACATAAAAGCTTCATCCCATAATATTATTTTACAAATATTTAGCTTCTTTACTTATGGATTTTATTTCGAAAACAGAAACTGACTCATTTTATTGTATTGGCAATTTAAATCTGTTTTGTACTGTACGCTAAGATCTCCTAAGTCAAAATAGTCTGTTGTGACAGCATCTGTCCGAGCAATATTTAAAAAATAATCAAGCGTTCGCATAACATTCCTTTGAATTTCAAAAACCAACATAGGTAACTTTTCAAGCTTTATTATCATACGATCTCTGTTGTTAATACTTAGCCGAACACGGAATTGTTTCTTCTAGGTGGCATTTTATGATAATCAAAATTAAAAATTGGAAAACCCAACACATAAAAATATCTATGAAAACATTAAAATACACCTTATCTGAAAAAAATACAATCACATAATGAAATAGATTGATTTTTACTCCCTATGAATGGAACTGCATAAATAAACTATCCCATCTCATAAGTTATCATTGTATTTGAAAGTAAACTGATAGGTAAACAGAAAAAGTAAACATTAAAATGACAGTAGGGAAAAAGGCTACTTTTATGAAGACAGATGATTTTTTAAAGCAAATGAATCATATGTTTGATAAAATTAACTAAATATTCACTTAGGCCTAGCCTATATTTAAAAATACATGGAAAATTTAAAGTCCAATGGGGCGAAGCACATTGAACTGAGCGTGACAAAAATTATTCCATGACTTCTGCAGATAACTCCCTTTAATTTGACACATCAAACATCAAAATCGGTTAATAAATAAAAGAGTTTTGCTGTGCACAAGAAATTCCTTACGGAATTAGAATAATAGAAGATACATTACATTGACTTATTTTGAAGTAATTTACACATTCAATTACCGTACTGAGATTAAATTCAAAACTGTTTTTATTCAGATTCATATTCAATTTCCAAGCACATTAAGTTTAGGGTAAACGGGTCTCAATAATACAGAGACATAAAATATATAACAAACAAACGTGAAAAAAAAAACAACAAAAAAAACAAACAACAGCATGAACAAAGAGATAAAAATAAATAGGACTATGTGGTGTAAGTAAAATTTTTTGTTTACTCACCATAGGGTGGTTCTGAGCAGTCCGAAGAAGTGAAAGTGGCAGCTGAAAGAAAGAAATCAACAGAAGAATAAGTTATGAATGACAAATGATTGTAAATAGGGAAAGAACATATACAGGGTAGAACGAATAGTGTCTGTATGTGTTAAACTACTAGGTGTTACCATTGACTATTGGATTATGAAGATGTTACTGACAGAATGGCATCAATTTCAGTTTGCATACCCTCACAGGTAGGCAGTAGCCTAACAGACAAAATTAGATTTTTTTCAAATTATTTTTTTATTTGCTTCTAAAATATACAATGACTACTAATGATTGCTTTTATTTCAACGTGTCATTTTCAGAATCCTCATTCATCCCTCCAAGTAAACTCTTGTGAATAAAAACGACTCTTTACTTGCAAGTAAAATACTTACCTAAATGAGAGGGTAACTCACTGATCTGAGGGTATACTTGCAAGTATTTATACTACTTCCAAAGTAAACTTTATACAGTACGAATGCTTGCAGCTTATTCCTCATAAACAAATTTGCCTTTCTCTACTATTAAGTTAAAACGGGTTTCCCTATGTGCTCTTACGTGTATCAACTTGTTACTAGTTAACAGCACTTCTTCAGTACGTATGAAACTATAATAGTTGATTGTGCATACGGGGGTGCATATATGATTGAGGTGTAATTTTAAATCTTAAGATCCAGCGCAACGAAAAATGGTATTTAAAAATATATGTTGATAAAGGGCTTCAAAAGTGTGACCCTTAAGCATTTTATTTATTTCCAGACAGTGATTTAAATTGTTGACCAACTTTCACATACAGTAACAGCTAACGGCGCATGCACGAGTGCAGATCGGAAGTGTTTATCACAAAAGATTGACCAATACGATTTTAATACTATTTAAAAGGTTCTTCCAAAAGAAGAGAAACCAGATAACATTGTAATAATAACTCTTATGACGTACAATTTTATTCATTGAATGATCAACCATATTTTGTAACTAGGTTAACGCAATAGTCATTATTGCTTTTACCAAAGATTACGGAGCATTATGTAATCATTGCTTTTACACTTATTACTCATCAAAAAAGCTAAAGAGCTAAATGCTCAAAATTTTTATTACTTCAATCTATCGCAGTTATATGAATTAAGTTAGCATAAGCCTTGAAAGTAACCGTCAATGTCGACGGGTTTCACCTAATTCTGTTCTGTATACTACAGTACCTTAAAATGCCTCATTTTAACATTTTACTGGCAGGAAACCTGCTTATTCACTTCCTAGCCTATATGGTATTCTTATGAATGAATCTTTTGAACACTTTTTTAAGGACATAAGTTGACAAGTTTGGTTTTAAGGCAGGATTTTCCAATAAGACTTTATACAATCTCTGAATATGCGAATGTGCTGCAATGGCGGTATTTAGGCGTACCGTTGATATATATTAAAATATATTAGGCTATGCTAAAAAAAATTCAATGTGACTATTATTTGAATTTTAATAATTGTCTTATTTTAGGTCTTTAAGAGAAAATACTTTAAAATCCTTTCTTAGTACGAATCTAAAATCAAATTTTTTACTACTAGGTGATATGAAAAATTTACCATTATACACCTGACTTTTATTGATCCTCTTTCTCAATTTAACAGTTTAAAACTAAATTGTCTTATTTTAGGTATTTAAGAGAAGATACTTTAAATCCTTTCTTAGTACGCATCTAAAATCTTAGAAACTAAATTTTTTTACTACTAGATGATATGAAAAATTTACCATTATACACCTGACTTTTATTGATCCTCTTTCTCAATTTAACAGTTTACAACTGAGTTTTGGTTTACTAAACAATTATCACTACTAGGCCTACATTGAATAAACCGGAAGCTCCCCACAAAATAAAAATCCCATTGAATTATAAATATGGATAATGTTAAAACAGACATTGACATATCGCATGTTTACTACTGGGTATAAGAAGGTAAAGCAATTTATAAAATCAATTACAACAATGAATATTGGCCGATACGCGGCAGAGCTAAGGGGTAGATTTCCTGGGGTAGATGTCCGGGGGTAGATGTCTGGGGGTAGATTTCCAGCTGCGGGCAGTTTCTCGAACATATATAAGCCCCGCCCCTCGTGACGTCAAAATGACGTAGGCGTTTTTTCATGGGGGTAAATATCCGGGGGTAGAAATCCGCTACCCCGTGCATACGTTCACTGCAAGGGCAGTCCTAGACTTAGTATATTTTTAGGGGGGAATGTTGCAGGGGGATCTGGAGGTCCTTCCACACCACGGAAAATTTGTAACATTAGCCTATGTGCTCAAATGAAAGATTTTTAAGCTATTTTGAGACATAAAAAGATAAATAACCCTAGCTTGATGTACAAGCATCTCATATTATTATTGACGGTCCAAGAACTTTGTTTAAACATTTAAATTGTGAAGGTTTTGCATTATTGAGACTTGTGGATTTTCATTAGGCCTAACACATAGCTTGAACATAACAAAGAAATACAGTTCCACTTCTGTTAAAAATTAAATAAAAAAAAAATCTATGTTTTTGGACTCTTTAATTAAGGTTCCATCTTTTCCCCATGCATTATTTTGCGTAAATCACTTGAGTCATGCATCATCATTTAAATAAATGTTTTACACTATACTGAATGTGTTACATGCATTTATCGACAACTGGTAAACTTAAACGAGCATGGATTACTGATAACTTGTTGAAAAACAAGTATTTACTCATTAGGCAAGTATTTGCTCGTGATTATTCACACAAAATTTACAGGTTTCTGAGGGTATAGGCCTACTTCCTTGGCAAGGCTTTACTAACAGACTTGTAAATACTTGTGTTTAATCACTTCTGTTCAAGTAAATACTCAAATTATGAACATTTAAGACTTGTAAACTCCTTTACTCGTTTTTATTAACTCGGCCCAATTGAGATAAAACATCTGTATAGGCTAAGCCCGTATTCTACAATGGAAGTTTAAATTTGTGATTTTTGAGAATACATCATTACTTAACTTTCACGTAACTTAGGCTTTTCTATGCTACTCTGAACTATAGACAGTGTCAAATAGTGCTAAAAATTTTCCCAAGTAATAATCTTTAAAATAATGTATAAAAACCTAACTTACTGCTTATTTCATTTTTTGTTCTTAAATCTAAGAGTTTTTCTTTGAAAACACAGAATGGTTTAAAGCAATTAAACTTAGCAAAATTTACAGACAAAATCAAAACAGTTTTAGTAGAAAAAGCATATTACACTCTTGAGGAATTTTTCAACGACTCCTGGTAGTGGTAACAGACACCCAATCTCTCATCAACATCTCCTAACATAAACAGTTCCACCATGCTGTAGCTTTGTAGGGGTAACTTACTGGCTAAATCCTAGGTTTTTTATACCTATTTAGATTTCCTTATTTATTAGAAACCTTGACAATGTACCTGTCTGTGTATTACATTTGTAATAACTTTAACAGATGTTATGTGCAATAAAGAATTGTCATTTGTCATTTAATACATAGACTATATTATTTTGCCCAAACAAGATTAGTTGTCAATTTGTAATTTAAATGCGATCAAGATAAGTTATTCAAACAGAAGGAATGTGCACCATAAAGAAAAACTAAAATATCAATAAGTTACTGTATATCAAAACAATTCATCGATAATAATGAATGGGGGTGTACCCTTCAACAGGAAATTACCCAACACATTACACATTATAGTCAGTGAAAGAAAAAGTGGATGATAATGTTTTATAGCCTATTGATAAGTTTGCCTTTTAAAATGAAACCACACAGAGGTCTAGTTTTTTTTTTTACTTTGTCGTAGACCAATCTTAGGCCTACTTAATTGGCCTCTACAAATGGTGACTGCCCATGTCTCTTCTTAACTTACACGTTTCTAGATTTTAGCGAATTTCCCTATAGGGAAGTAAGCTATTACCATAGGTGGCATGGTAAGACCTAGACCCGGGACCAATTTACTTTTTCATTTTGATGTCCCCAGAGGCCAAAAACACCATTTGTTAAAATTTTTATATAGCCTATACATGTAATATATATATATGTATATATGTGTCCGTGAACGCGGTAACTTGAGTAATTTTTGTCCGATTTTGATGAAATTTGGTATAAAGGTGTAAAGCAGGATAAACTTGAATGAGTTCGCGAACCAGCATGATCGGACTATGGGAACGGGGGTTTATGGGGGGTTTTATGGGGTAAAAATAGGGTTTTCCCATTTTTGACCCTAAAAACACAAAATTTCACAATTACTTTCCAAACCATTGTGTAGAGCTTAAAGAAACAAATAATTTAGTAGGCTATAACTTATTGAAGCGTTATTATGTGCCTAAGGGTTACGGAGAAAATTCAAAAAAATTTTAATTTTAAAATTCCCGTGTTATTCTTATGGAGAGTCAATTGTCAATTGTTGTAATTTGCTTATTTATGAACATATTTTGATTAAATTTGGAAAATACATTCATTTCTTACTAAACTACAGTAGGCTACCTATTAACATTTTAGCCTACATGAAAAACACTTTTTTACCCTCCATGTTACAGCAAAACTAAGTACCGGTACTCGTTAAATTAATTCTATTTAAATAGGAAATAAATGTGATATATTTAAGGAGACGTTTTAGTGTAAATCCAATGAGGCAAATGGAAATTCGCTAAGTCTGCAGGTTTGCTGCGGCGGGGGTGGTATTTATAATTTGATGTGTTCTGATTAAATTCACAACCGTTAAAATATAGGCCTACTACCTACCGTACGTATAATTCCGTGTTTAATCCATCAAACTGATGTCGTGAAACTCAAAAGTTCGCGGCCGGAATTTTACCCCTTGGTTCGTGACGTCACGTTTGCCCTGGGGGGTAAAATTCTAGGGGGATAAAAATCTGTTACCCCATTTTATTATGCAAGTAATCCGTGTACGCTTGGTCATAAGTTGGCAACACTCAAAGATAATAATACTATGATCAGCTGATTGACTTTTATAACTACAATTTAACCTGTAATTTCGTGTTTATAGCTTATAGGCTATTATATTTTCGTTCAGCTGGGTTTGAACATAACCTAAAGTGTAGTAAGTTATTTGAAAAATGAATTATAAGTGGACCTAACATGTTTAAAAATAAGGTAAAAAATCTAAATGCAGTCATAGGAAACATGTTAGGCAATGCCGGTTTTAAGGTTAGTAAGGACAACTAACAAGCGTATTCATCGCTATAAGACAGGCCGAAATGTAATAGGCTAGCCTACGCTATAAAACTTAAGCTTAACGTTGTTCAGTAGAAGATATGCATGAAACAAATAAGTTACTATGGCTTATAAATATTGATACTTGCCATTTCGATAAATATCTGTAGTAGGTCTTCACTTCACTGGTAATTAAATAACAACAAATTTGAAATTTGATTGATTGCTATGCTATACCTAACCTCTACAATGACAATGCTTACAATACAATACGAACGATACGATTACGAACGAAACGAATACAAACAAAAACAACAGAACGGAACGAAGACGAACCACTCGACGTTCTGTACCCACGAGCACCTCAGCTTCCATATGCACAGGATAACAGCTATTTGTGTAATAGCTTCACTGTATATCTTTAATTGGACCTGTTTAGATAGTTGTTTCGTTTTAACAGTTGCAGTTTGCACTGTTTGCAGTTGCGAACTGTGCATTGTGATTTTAAGGTGTTTATTCTTTACTGTTTGTTTATTTTTGACTTGAGCAGCGTTGAGCTGCTTGAAAAGGTGTTTTATGATTATGAAAATTAAAGTGTTGTGAGTGAGCTGAAGCTGATTATTTGTTATCAGGTATTAACAATTAAATATTTTGCGTGCATGAATTATTTATGAAGTTTTAAATGTTCACTTAACCTATATTTTTCGGATTCCTCAAGAAAGAGTGATTGTTAATGTTAGGTTGAGTTGCGTTTGTGTGTGAATTTGTTAGATTTGAGTTTTGGTAGTGGTAGGTCTAGGTTTATTTTGATTAAGTTAGTTGGGCCTTTCAGTGGAGTTTAGGTCTAAGTTAAGTTTACCTTAGAGGCTAACTTAGACCTACCACTACCAAAACTGCAATCTAACAAATTCACACACAAGCAAACACCTAACCTAACCTAACAATCACTCTCTCTTGAGGAATCCGAAAAATATAGGTTAAGTAAACATTTATATCTTTATAATTAATTCATGCACGCAAAACATTTAGGCTAATTGTCAATACTTACCTAATAACAAATCAGCTTCAGCACACTCACAAAACGTAAATTTTCATAATCATAAAACACCTTTTCAAGCAGCTCAAGTCAAAAGTAAACAATAACAAACAGTAAAGATTAAAGAATAAACACCTTTTCAAAATCACAATGCACAGTTCGCAACTGTAACTGTTGAAAAAAACAACTATCTAAACAGAAACAGGTCCAATAAAGATATACGGTGAAGCTATTACACAAATACCTGTTATCCCAGGAACTGTTCGAAGGCCTTCTCTGCTTGTGGAAGCTGAGGTGCTCGTGGGTACAGAACGTCGAGTAGACGAACCGAACGAACGTTACTCTTCTTCTTCTTGTTCAGTTCAATCAGTTCAGAAACGTAAACGACCATCTCACCGCAGTAATAAATCCTAAGTTTTTTTTTAACTCTAGGAACATGTTCCTAGGGTCTGTATGGTCTGTAACAGACTACTGCCATAGATTAAACATACACCCTTAAGCCACGGCCGCCTTTAACTACAGGCCGCGGCCTGGTATAATTGTCATTTTCGCAAGTGGTGTTGTTCAGTAACAGACGTCCCATAAGATAACATGGTAGACAGGTGACATCAGCTCATTAATTCGCACTTTATTGATTTAAATTTAAATTTATGAACATAAATTTATTAAAATATTGAAAATAAAACATACAGAATTGAAAATCGAAACAATATGAACTAAAATCTATATCTGTACAATTTTAAGCGAGTCAATATTGTCATAGTCCAGTAACCAATCTTTCGTAAATACGCAAATACCATTAGCTACTTCCAAACAAAACCGCTGTTACAACACCACTTGCGACGTTGCCAGTTCGAAGGCCGCGGCCTAAGTTGGGGTTTCCTAGGCACCCAAGCGCAGGGCCGGTTCTAGGAATTTTTCAGTGTTAGCGAACACCCGAATCAGCGCCACTTAGAATCCCCCCCCACCACCCCACCCACAACCCATGAACATTACTTAACTCTATTTGTGAATTTTTCCCCAAAGATTTTGGGAAGAACTTTTTTATAAGTTTAGGTTAGAAGAATACTTGGAATTTGCAATAAAAGACTGTTTATTATTCCCAGGAATTTAACATTTTTACACTTTTACGCATCGTATAAACTTTAGCAAAACCAAGGCTACACTAAAAAAAAAAAACAGGCCATAATGCTCGTCAAGCATGACGTCACGATAGAAGACGGCAATGACGTAATGTTTGCCGTTTGTGATCAGCTGCTTGTTTTAATCTTTCCTTGGAAAATAAATAAATAAATACCTACGTCATTGCCGTCTTCTATCGTGACGTCATGCTTGACGAGCATCACGGCCTAAGTTAACAATTTATTTATAAATGTGAAAACAATACGCCACACTACACTATTTTGACGAACTTCCCACACAAGGATTTAGTCCAGAAAACAGCTGTTTGCCGCCAGCTTAATCAAATGGGGTTTCATTGCGCACTACTGTACTGTAATGAGTTTTACCGGACACCAATCAGCTGATTACACTGTATTTGGGTGACAATGAGTGGTTATAAACAAAAACATAACCTCTCTTAAAGGTTAGTCCTTTAGTTGGTGGTAATATGTAAGGATTTGTACAGATTTAGTAGTATGGCGTAAACTATCGTACGTAACTTGTCCAAAATGTGTTAACCGGACTCGTATGGTAATCCCGTACTAGACCGTCTCGCACGGGAACGACCACACTCGTCCGGTAAACACTTATTTTCGGGACTAGTAACGTAATATACTATTACAGGATAACTTGGATGCGATATAAGTTAAAGCCTAATTGAACACATTAAACATGAAGAAAACATGAAAACCAAATTTATTACAGTGCCTTGACAAAAAGAATACAAAATTATCAATTTCAACAGTTCAAAAGCTCTTAGCAGTTAAAAATAAGTTTTCCTAGCTTTGATCTTGGCAAGTTCTTTAATTGCAGAGTTGGTATCAATGTGGTTCAGAACATGAGTCATGAAATGAAACCCACAGGCGCCGCGCTGTAGTACGCTGCCGACTGCCGACTGCCGAGCGTCAGCTCACTACAAATCGAAACTATAGTAATACCAGAAACAAAGAAACCCTGGGCCGTTTCGAGCCGCGCAGGTTTGAATGGTACGCCACACCTACCGGCGCGAACCACGTGATCTTTTCATTTCTGCGCAGGTTGTTTTGTTCGTGGTATTACTATACAAATGGCATTAAGTCCTTGAGTTGTAGTGCTGTACAAATATACGCATTTTTCATATGCTGTTGGTACAAACAGAATAAATGCCTTTATTGTGGTGCTTTGAATACTTGAACTCTGAGCGAAAATAAACAAAATAACGTTGATCACTAAAAAAAAAATTGTTCCGCATATGGCGCCAATTTTTCGTGGCGCCATATGCGGCCGCTTAGTTCGCGTACGGGTTAAACCGGCCCTGCCAAGCGGAGAGCGGAGAGAGGAACGCGGAGAGCAGAAAAGAGATTAACATGGTGTTCCGCTCCACTTCTAGGAAAACAGTAACATTAAATTACCTAAGACAAGTGGAGTCCGCTCTCCGCTCCCCACTTCCGCGCCTAGGAAAATCCGGCTTTAGGGAGTATGTTTAATCTATGCTACTGCTTTCTCATTATAGTAAAAAGGAACTGAATAAAGTCTAGACTTTACCTCAGCCCGGTCACGATCGATTGTCAATGTCCCTTCGTGTTTTTCGTGTTTTTTGTAATGTGTGTCCGTTCCGTGTATCGTGTTTTGTATATGTTTTATTTATTGAACTCTGTTAACGACCTTCGAATGAAGTGATCACTTGACACCTTGAGGCCTGAAGATGGTTCTAAACAAGAACCGAAACTTAATTGTTTAAAACTAAAGTTTAAAGTTTAAAACTAAATTGTCTTATTTTAGGTATTTAAGAGAAGATACTTTAAATCCTTTCTTAGTACGCATCTAAAATCTTAGAAACTAAATTTTTTTACTACTAGATGATATGAAAAATTTACCATTATACACCTGACTTTTATTGATCCTCTTTCTCAATTTAACAGTTTACAACTGAGTTTTGGTTTACTAAACAATTATCACTACTAGGCCTACATTGAATAAACCGGAAGCTCCCCACAAAATAAAAATCCCATTGAATTATAAATATGGATAATGTTAAAACAGACATTGACATATCGCATGTTTACTACTGGGTATAAGAAGGTAAAGCAATTTATAAAATCAATTACAACAATGAATATTGGCCGATACGCGGCAGAGCTAAGGGGTAGATTTCCTGGGGTAGATGTCCGGGGGTAGATGTCTGGGGGTAGATTTCCAGCTGCGGGCAGTTTCTCGAACATATATAAGCCCCGCCCCTCGTGACGTCAAAATGACGTAGGCGTTTTTTCATGGGGGTAAATATCCGGGGGTAGAAATCCGCTACCCCGTGCATACGTTCACTGCAAGGGCAGTCCTAGACTTAGTATATTTTTAGGGGGGAATGTTGCAGGGGGATCTGGAGGTCCTTCCACACCACGGAAAATTTGTAACATTAGCCTATGTGCTCAAATGAAAGATTTTTAAGCTATTTTGAGACATAAAAAGATAAATAACCCTAGCTTGATGTACAAGCATCTCATATTATTATTGACGGTCCAAGAACTTTGTTTAAACATTTAAATTGTGAAGGTTTTGCATTATTGAGACTTGTGGATTTTCATTAGGCCTAACACATAGCTTGAACATAACAAAGAAATACAGTTCCACTTCTGTTAAAAATTAAATAAAAAAAAAATCTATGTTTTTGGACTCTTTAATTAAGGTTCCATCTTTTCCCCATGCATTATTTTGCGTAAATCACTTGAGTCATGCATCATCATTTAAATAAATGTTTTACACTATACTGAATGTGTTACATGCATTTATCGACAACTGGTAAACTTAAACGAGCATGGATTACTGATAACTTGTTGAAAAACAAGTATTTACTCATTAGGCAAGTATTTGCTCGTGATTATTCACACAAAATTTACAGGTTTCTGAGGGTATAGGCCTACTTCCTTGGCAAGGCTTTACTAACAGACTTGTAAATACTTGTGTTTAATCACTTCTGTTCAAGTAAATACTCAAATTATGAACATTTAAGACTTGTAAACTCCTTTACTCGTTTTTATTAACTCGGCCCAATTGAGATAAAACATCTGTATAGGCTAAGCCCGTATTCTACAATGGAAGTTTAAATTTGTGATTT